TTTTTTTTTTTTTTTTTTTTTTTTTTTTTTTTTTTTTTCTTCTTTTGGTTTTTGGTGATGTTGACTTCTCTTCTCTCTGGGTTTCTGGGTTATGGTTTGGTGTTTGTGGGAGTTGGTGGTGTTGTCGGATCGGATAAGATACCTCCGAGCCGTTGCATTTTGGTTGCACATTTCTGCATAGCGACACATTATGGATTTCGTGATACCTGACGTCGGTCTTATACTATTACTAGCAGCTTGGTATTATCCATCGTACGAAGTCACCCCCAATTCCAAGGCCTTGATCTGCAGCGCCAGCAATCGCGAGTAATACCGACCCAATGCCAGGTTCCCTCCCATCAGCCACAGACCGGGATGACCAGTCCGACGCCACATGCGCATTTCTCCTCGCTCGTCGAATCCCCATACATCATTGACCTTGGCACCCTCGTCGCCGAAAATGATGCGCGCCTGCGTCGACATGTTCTGGTACCCCGTGGCCAAGACAATCTCGTCCGCTGCGAGCTCCGTGCCGTCCGCAAACCGGAGCCCGTGCGGGAGGATCTCCGTGATTTCCTGACCTTGCTTCACCTGGATCTTGCCGGCAGCGATCAGCTGGCTGGCCCCCACGTCAATGTAGTAGCCTCCGCCCCGTTGCATGTACTTCAGGAGTAGACCCGCATCGTTCGGACCCCGGTCCACTCGGAAGCCGGCCCGCTCGAGCCCTTCTAGCGTGGCCTGGTCTTTCTGGTTCTGTAGCCGGGTGACCTTGATCTGCTGCGCCTTGAACAGCTCGGACGGGATGCTCCAGAGGTAGAGGTCGGCATCCTCGTTCGGGGGGCCGTCTTCCTCGTACAAGCCTTTGAGACCGATGTCGACGATCGCTTCCGACGAAATCACGCAGGTTGAGCTGCGCTGCACAATCGTCACGTTGTATCCCTTCTCGTAGTAATCTTGCGCAATGTCGTGGCCGGAATTGCACGCCCCAACTACCACCGCCTTCTTGCCTTGGGAGTTGGGGTTGGCACCGGGAAACTCGCTGCTGTGGCAGATGCGATCACCTTGGAAGGAGTCAATACCCTTGAAATCGGGCAAGTTCTTCTTTCCGGAATGACCAGTGGCCTGGACAATATACCGAGGGTGGAGGGTGCGAGTCTCCACGGTGCCATCCTCCTTGCGCCGTTGCAGGTCAATCGTCCAGACTTTCTCTTTGCCATCCCACGAGGACTTCTGGATGCCCGTTTTGGTCCACACATTCAGCTCCATCAGCTTGGCGTAGCACTCGAAAAACTCGGCGAGTTTGTCCTTGGGCGTGAAAATAGGCCAGTTCGGAGGGAAGGGAATATAAGGCAGATTGTCGAACCACACCGGGTCATGCAATACCAGCTGGTGGTAGCGTCTGCGCCAGTTGTCCCCGATGCGGTCCTCTTCGTCGATGATCAAAACGTCGATATTCAGCATTTTAAGACGAGCCGCGATGGTAAGGCCAGACTGCCCGGCACCTGTTTCAGTCAGCCTAGATCAATACGAGGGAACAAAAGACATACCGACGACCAGGACAGTCGGAGACTTGCCCTCGACATTGATATCGGCCGTGCGACGATCTTGCCAGTTCTTGCGACCCAGGTTCTCTCCATGCTGCGCGCCCACTGGCCTTTTGTGATCCACCGCTTCTGGGTGGTCAACAAAACCCACCATAGACGTGAAGAAGGTGAAAATCTTCCATTCGCCATCCTTCTCCGCCAGTCGGACCAGGCCTCTTCCCTTGCGAAGGGAGTCAGAAAGCGTGATGAAAAACAGCACTCCCGTGACGTCTCCAAACGCATCAATGGGCCCAACATAGGGTCCCTTGAAGGGTGACGAGCTGTCAATCTCAATCTTGCTGGGGAGACGGCCAGACTGGAGGAGGCTGGAGATGTTGTCTTTGCCTTTTGCAGTGTGAAAATCCCAGGTCAGACAGAGATGATCCCGCCAGAAGCCGTCTTCGAGGAACAAGTTGGTAATAGCCTGCACATCCCCCTTAGCCAAGGCCGTGTTGATCTTCTCGACGAGCTGCGACGCGACCTGGGTGGCATTGACATCGGTTGACGTGCAGGTCTGAGGGAATTTGCCCACGGGGACATTAAACGAGCCGCGTTCGACCTGGATGTTGGACATGGTGTTTGGTGCAAAGCCGAGGTCGTGCGGGGTCGGATTATTCCCCGGTGAAGGAGGAGGGGAAGCGGGGGGTTAAATAGCTTCTTGGAACCCCGCTTGATAATCAACTATCGATGCAACAGGTTAGTAAGGCTCGTGACTGGGCGGCATTCGATTCTAATTTGACAATTGGATAAAATGAAGCGAGGAGGCAGCCAGATATGCTTATGTAGGGTGAAAAGGGGTGATCGATGTGACACGACATCAAGTGGGGTTGCTGAGGGGTAACGAAGGTTGCATTGCCAATGTTGAACGGAGGAAGACATGATGAAACAAAGGAGGGAAAAATAGAAGGGAAAGCAACGAGAATAGAATTAGCATACATTGAAACAGTTATCGAGAATCCGATTCAGCGTCTCTGTTTACTCCGGTTGGTTTCTCTCCATCTCTTTAGAAGCTCGTCGGCCGAATCCTCCTGCTGTGCCTCGGATATCAATATTGATTGCTAATTTACTGGGATATATATGTTAATAAAGCTATACTTCATATCAACAAGCATCATTGGTCTAGTGGTAGAATTCATCGTTGCCATCGATGAGGCCCGTGTTCGATTCACGGATGATGCATAGCTATTTCTTCTATTTTTTACCCTCCGCACGGAGTCAGCGTAGCGTAACCCGCACTCTTTCTTTTCCTCTGCCTTTCCCTTCCTTTTTCTTCTGTTTTATAACCCCAGTGCTCGGTTAGGATGATGATACTATGCGCTGCGCTGATATGTGTCAATATATGCAATGAAACTAGTAGAGAGTGACCACTGAGGGGAATATGTACAGAGAAATCTAATTATGTAGTGCCCGAAGATATACACCCTCCAATCGTACATGTCACAATCATGTGACAACATCTCTCCTTCTCCTCCGGCTTTGACCGGCATATCGACTTTCCAGACCGAGTCGACCGAGCGCCAACGTCTCCAGCGTCTCTGTCCTGCCTCCCCACACTTTGCCTCTCCCAGAACCATCCGGCTTCCTCTGGATCGGAGGGATCCAGCACGTCACTGCCGCACCGAAGAGCATGCATGCTGCGAATACGATCATCACGTAGCCGTGGCGTCGGACCGGCGCTTCTCCAAAACCTCCTCCAAAGTTGTAGTACGCGGAGAATATTTGCACCACCACCGAACCGACCTTTCCAGCCCCCGCGCTGAGGCCATGGCAGGTGGCGCGGTAACGAGTGGGAAAGATCTCAGCGGGAATGATATAGGTTGTAGCGTTTGGCCCTATGCACATTAGCTTAAATCACAAGTTCTACGAGAAGAGGCATACCAAAGTTGAACAGGGCTTGTCCAATGACGTACAAGACCACCGCCACAGGCCCCTCTTTTTGTATGCTGATAAGCATACTGCCCAGGGCGATGAAGAGAGCCGATAGTGCGAGAAAGGAGTATTTTTGGAGAGCCACCCGGTCCAGTTTATGGATCACCAAGATGAGAAGGAGGCCGCCGATAAAGCTGCCGACGTTGAGAATGACGAGGGCATGAGTGCAACTGGCAAAGAACATGTCGTAGACGTTTGCGGAAGGGCTGTCGTTCGTCTGCCAGTAGGGTGCCGGAGCGCTCAAGTGCAGTGACCCCCAGGTCTTGGCCAAAAACTGCGGGCTCGAAAGACTGATACCGTAGAAGCCAAAATCAAGGAAGAACCAAGAAACCGATGTCGCCGCAAGAGTGCGCCAGTTCCCTTCAACCCAGAAGTACTGGGTAATATCCTTTCGCGTCAGGTGCCAATGGGAGTTCAGGGTCGCAGGCTGGAGGATGCCCGTTTGAGAGGTGGAAGATCGGTCTTCCGCCGTGATAGTCGTCAGTGAGATCGCCGGCTGCGGCATATGGTGCCAGCTTTCAGTATCCAGGGTCGGAGATGAGGAAACCGCGTTGAGATCGGTAAAAAGGGTGGTAGCATCGAACTCTGTCGTCACCGGATCATCGTCGATCTCCATGAGAAAGCGGGGAGACTCGGGAACGAAAAACCGGAAGCATGTAGCGATCGCTGCTGGAATTACACCGATACCAATCACGTAGCGCCACATCCTATCCACGGACTTGGTCATATCATCGGTGTCTCCACGGCTGGCGGCGACAACGATCAGCGACACCAGATTCGCCCAGATCTGCCCCAACGGCTGCATGAAGAACACGGAAGCCATCATGCGTGCACGATGTTTGGTCGGCGCGAATTCGCTCGTGATGACGGCACTCAGAGGATAATCTGCGCCCACCCCGATTCCCACGACGATGCGCCACCAGATAAACCAGGCATAGATGTTCATCGAATCATTCTCGCCACGAGAGGCCATAACGACACCCAGGGTCGATGTGATCATGAGGATCAACTCCAGACCGTACATCTTCTTGCGCCCGTGTCGATCAGCCAGGTACCCGAACAAGATCTGCCCTAGAAGCGTGCCGCCCAGTGTCGCGATGTTGAACAGAGTGATCTTGATCGATGAGATCTCCTTTCTCCAGTACACGTATGAAATCATCGGAAGAGCCATGTTGCTTGCAAACAGCTGCGCCAGTCAGAATCCCGTCGATTGCACTGATAATGGAAGACCGACTGTGTATCCATCGAGAAAGAAGCCAACACCCGCAACAAAGACGACTAACAGCTGGAATCCCTGGCGGTCAATAGTGTCGTACACCTGCCGAGCTCTGACCTCTCGGTCCTACCGCACCACCGCACCATCAGTACTTGGTCATGTCACGGGTGAACGGACATACCTGCTCATGCTCGAAATCCCGAGCTCGGTCGGTCTTATACCATCTCGTGCGGAAGTTGCCCATGGCAGTACTGTAGTGATCGTGCGTTCAGATAATATGTAGCAATCAATAGATGACATCATGGAGGGCCATTGCATGCATAGAATGGAGAACAATCCTGCGGCCCCCAGATCGAGGATGGAGGCCAAAGAAAAGGATCGCGCATGGTTGAAAGAAAGGAGAGGGCGAGAGGGGTAGACCCGGCCCACCATGTGTCCGGAGCACAACGGGGGCAACGTCCCTAATCCGCGAAAGTTTTCACTATGGGCAGGGGGACCGGTGATTGGCAGGCTGGGGGACGGCACGTGCAGTAGCGGCCGATGCGGGACGAGGCGCATGGGGCAGCACCCAATTCCTCGCTCCACGTGCGGCACGTGCGGGCACGATGGGGACTCATTGGGGCCCACCTGCCCACTTGGGCGCCCTTTGGCAGATGAACGAAACGCCACGAGTAGTAGCATGATCCCGGACGACAACCGGTGCCTGGCCATTGTCCGAGGTGCCTTCCACCGGATACGAGGCGATTTGGCCATTTGAATTTGCCCAGAGATAAGAGACGCTAATCGGGAGCCCGTCCTACCGGTCGGCGCGGACACGTGCTCCTCGTGCCTCGTAAGATTTCTTGTTTGATCCTTGACAATAGGGGTATAGTATTGTAGCGACTGACTCAAGGCGAAAAAAGCAATGTGCAATCCTCCGTACCAACGCCAACCAAACTCCTTGCTGCGAGCTCGTGCAATCGAACTAGATGCTGTGCCAATTCCCAGCCCGCTTGCTATGGGTATCATGTCCAAATCTATGAAGGGTATTAAGTTATGTGGTGTGCTCGGTGAGAAATCGACAGAATTCTTTTCGGTCTATACAGGTCAGAGGTTGAGCGATTAGAATCACAGAGAGCACAACATACCCGAGTCGTCAAGAAACTGGATGGATAATGTCTTCATCTGCGAGAGAATGTCAAAGTTGGGCTGTAACTGGAGAACCACTGGCTTTCCCGCCTTCTTGCCCGGATTGAAGCTGTCGATGCAGGTGACCGGGATGGAAACATAGCGCTTCAGCTCTTTGCGTTGGGAGTTGGCAAAGAATAGGATGACCTGTTTCCCGTTATGGCCACGTAGGATGCGAAGGTTCTGGCTGATGCACTCTTCTCCTCTCCCTTTGGATTTAGCCTCTGCAATGCCCGCAATGAAGACCAATCTCGAGCCCAGTATCAGTTCCTGAAATTGCACGCAATCTGCTTCGATATCAGCAGAGATCAACACCGAAAAGCCTAGCTACCGACCTTTCCAGTCTTCAAAGGTATAGGAAATTTGCGCGAGAAACACAGTTTGAGCTGATTGAACAGTTTGTTCGTCCATGAAGGAAATACGAAGCGATGGCTCATTCGGGAGTTTAGGATGCTCGAGGTGAGGGACTGGAAGCTTTGTGTCGTTGACTGGGCGTGAAAAGGCAAATTAGCGAGGTCATTTACTGGTCTTCTGGCACACATACAGGTATGGACTAGAGGCGTCTGCTGACCCGGCCCTCCACCCAGTTCAAGGCTTTTTAAACTGCCGGTGGCATCCTTGCGGATATCAATGTAGGTGTAGCGTAATTTGAAGAGCTTGTTACTTCGAACGAAGGAGCTGCAGTAGCTGTCAGCATACGTTGTTGTCATAAAGCAGCCATACGAACATGGTCACAGAATTGTTTAGCGGTAAACGGCAAATGTCGTCGTACAAAGAGAAGCACGAAGCCTGCCTCGACCGGGATCCAATCGAGGACGCCGTGCGGCTGAGGGGAGGAAGGAATGGAGGCGAGGTGCCAAAGCTGGGAGTGGAAGAGTTCGTAGAGGAGGAGACTGTGCTTTCGCGTCGAGACACGGAGAGCGGAAGAGGCCAGTCCTCCGCATCAAAGTGGGAGCCTGGGGGGCTCATGGCAGACGCAAGGGGTTAAGTAGCAACGGCTCCGACCTTCTGCTGTGCACAGTGCAACGCGGCGGGTAACTGATGGGCGACGATCGTGCGGATCCCCAGAAGCTGATCAAATGAAGGGTCCAGGACAATTGCATCATTCCCTAGGTAACTTCCCACTGCACAAGTCGCCAAATCGTGCGAAGCGAGCGGCGGGCTGATCGAGGGCGAGGTTATAAGGCGAGTGCTCAGTTAGGCAAGTGATAAGGATATGCTGGAGTGGGCGCCATAGGAACCTCATGCCCAGGCCCAGGGCGGGGGAACGGCGGACAACGTGCTCGAAAGGGGCCCTGTGATTTGAGACTCCCCGGCGACGGGTGGAGCCACATCCCTGTAGCCGGTACACCTCGTGGTGATATGGATGGTTCGAGATGGGCTTTTAGAATGGTGTCAGTGCTCCAAACTGGTGAACAGAGACGCTGCCCCGATATCCACCCACCTATTATAAGACCCCCTCGAGGAAGTCGTGCGCGTGTGGATAGGTCCCCGCCGGTCATGGAGTGGATGCGGCTAACTCCTGGTGGATCCGAGTCCTGGGGTGGGAGCAATAAAGCCATTTGTTTTCGATCAGTCGGTATTTGCTCGGGTGCATCGGGTCGGCAGGATGACCACCTGTACGGAGTAGGCAGGCTTATGTGCTGTAGTCCATGCCGTGCATGAAGGATGAAGGAAGAGGCACCAAGTGGTGGTGCATCCTCAGACGATGATCACGTGATATGGATCAGATTGGCACCGGGTTGCCTTACATAACACACGCGCTTGCCTCCTCCGACTGCATACAGTATTCCGTACGTATATAACTGGCTCCAGAACGAAAAGGTAGTATTAGTCTATGTACTTCTATAAGGACAGCCCTATCTACATGGGGCATCCTCAGATCAGAAAGAAACGAAACCAGATGCAGAACACCAAAACTCCGGCTAGGCTTCGCGAAGCTTGACAAAACACAATGCAGGATCGGCGTACAGCCGGGCAAGACGAAGCGAGCGACCAGCTGTCGGCAGCATGAATTGGCAGGCGCTTCATCACGGGCCATAGAGCGTGATCCACAAAGCCGCTATAAATTAGGGTATATATATGCGATCGGAAGCAGAACATCTTCAGAGCCATGTCAGAAATCCTGCGGTATTGTATAAAAAACGCTTTCTGAGGCGACGACCAGCGCGCGACGTTCGGGACATGGCAGGCACTCACTTTATAGACAAACACGCCGTAGCCACAGGACTGGGAAAGGTGGCGCGCAGGCGACGCGACAACTCACATGAGCCAAAGTAGAGTGACATGCCCACGATGGGCAATACCGTGGAGGCAAACCATTATATCTATGATGTCCAGTCGCGATTGTCGTACGGGCCGAACTCATCCAACCGGTAGTCGTAGCCTTGCCTCCGCCATAGCCACGAGGTGATGTCGCGCAGTAGTAGTTCCGCTGCGCACACCCGTTCGCGAGGCAATCCTCGTTATCGAACCAATGACCAATCCCAGCCCTGTCCTCCAGCACATATTTATTGAAGGGGCTTCTGAGCGATGATGCGGTAACTCGTCGTCACCAGTCGCATGGTGTCCATCTTGATAAAGGCCTCGCCATCGAGACACAAGCGGTTGATCAGGGTCTTAAAGTGGCGGGGCAACACGTGGGTCTTAACGAGCCCCAGAATGACCTGGCGCATGGAGCGGAAGTAAAAGTCGACCTTGTCGATCAGCGGCGCCTGCAGGCCTCCGACACTGGCGTTATCCGATCGAACGACGGTAAATCCCGCCTCGGTCAGGGCCTTCTCGAGGCTCTCGGGGGTGGGAGTGCCCACGGCGCCGATGAGAGGCTTGACGCGACGCATGAGTTCGGCATGCTCGGGGTTGCTCGGATCGTAGTCGGGCAGGCTAGCCCAATCGAGGAGGGAGATCTTGGCACCGGGCTTGACGACGCGGTAGATTTCGCGGAAGAGGGCCGGGAGATCCTTGCACAGACTGAGGGCTTGGATCTGGTAGAAGGCATCGAAACTGGCGTCTTCAAAGGGAAGGGGCAAGGTGTTGAAGTCCTGGACGACAAAGTTGTTGTTGGAGAAGCCGAGCTTCTCGTTGTACGCGCGAGCCTGGGCGATCTGGTTGGGATCGATGTTCAGTCCCGTGACATGCGCGCCGGAGTATTGCGTCATGTGCGCGGCGACTCTTCCGCGCCCGCAACCGAGATCCAACACGTGATCGCCGGCGGTGAGGCCAATGTCCTGCGCAATTGACTCCTCGTACAGCAGCTGGTTCTCCAGCACGGTCGCCTTTTTGCTCATGAACGGGGGGATGTACATCTTCTCGACGTCGCCCAGCGCGCACAGGTGGTTGAGCACCCCATAGTATGCCTTGAGACAGTCGCCCACCTTCGCCTGATAGTCCGGTCCCAGCGTCTCAACCATCTGTTTCTCATCCGACCAGTCCAGGTTGTAGATGACGTAGGATGCCATGAAGTCATCGACCTGCTTGGGCGTCAGATTGTTCAGATAGCGAAACGCCTTCCAAAAGGTCTTCCATCGCTTGGGAGACGCTGAATTGTGAAGATCCGGACGGGTCGAAGGGAACTCCTTGTTGGCAAGCTTCTGCTTCTCAACGGCGTCCAGCGAGCTGCTCTCGGAGCTCCGCCCGGACTGGCGCGACGCCAAGACGTTGGTTTGAGTTTCCATTCTCCAGCTAGAAGTTTAAAGAGTCAAGTTGCGGAGTTGACAGCAGCAGCGACAGCAGCAATAGCGACAGCTGAGAGCAGCGACAACGGAGCGAGGATTAAGAGGGAGAGGGATTGGGGAGGGTGACAAGACAGTGGAAGGCTAGAGACGGCGGTTATTTCGTGGTTCAGAAAGTGCCATGCGCCAGTCGCAATGCGATATCTTCCTCTTTTTTTTGCTCAAAGGCGGGGCTAGGCTTAATTTATAAGCACTGCAACGAAGGGAAATTTTTTTTTTTCTGACTCCTCCTTCCTGTAACAGACAGTCCCTCTGCAACGGCGCAAGGCGGCGCCGTCGGGGGTCTTAATAATATCGATTGATTTGCCGTATGACCTGCCATGGGAAGTTAGTGATGGCCACAGTGGATTTCTGTTGTCACCGGATCTGGAAAGCATCGGAAGAGTCGGAAGTGGCAGGTCCAGAGCAGCACGGGAAGAGACGGCAGCGACGAACCGGAGGATGGAGATTGGAGACTCATGGGCGATGCGCGTTGGCTCTGGCTCCGTTGTTTAGGATTGGAATTTGGTGACTAGTACTCCGCAGGTCTCTGCTCACAGGAATCGACCCCCTTGTTGGTTGGTTCACTTGGTTGGGGGGTAAGCTACTTCTGCTACGACATCAACTACGACTAGTTCGTTATCAATCCTGGTATGAGTCAAGGGTCTCCCGGTCACAACACGGACCTCTTTTCCCCTCTGATCACCGGAGCTACTTCATGCCACTGGCCTGCAGTTCGGACAATTGTCCACCATTGATTGCCAGCAGGCCTTGTACGTAGTACTTCAGGCCGCCTACCCTCCCTGGATATAACGGGCTTTGGGCGGTGATAGTGGATAGTCACCATGGAAGGATGAGATGGTCAGAGAAGCTGCTAGTGCCGGAGCTAGTGCTGTGCAGCTGGATCAATGCCCACTTCCCAGGGTACTCTACTGACTAGTGTCGGTGACCCATCCAGGGTGCTTGCTGACGGAGAACTCATGGCCATCAGCTCTACGCTGGTCTATTTGTTCCTGGTGCGCCAAGCCGTCCCCAATGCGTAGTGGGATGCAACAGGCCCATCCCACGGATGAGCTGATCAATGGGCATCCGCCGTGCCAAATGAGCACGGCCTTGGCAGCAAAGGCTTACCTGTGGTGCTTGCTGTGCTCCCGAAGCCGGCGGCGGTTTATGACTTCGAAGACCTTCATACGAGGATTGTGAGCAAAGCTTGATTTTTTGGTGATGCTCCATCTAAGTTGCTCGCCCTATAGGGATGCTGCGGCCTGGGTGTTCAAAGTTGAGATTGTGTTAGGGTTTGGGAGCCATGGACGTTCGGGGGTTCTGTTTCACTGCTCATGGCGGTATTACTCAAGAAATTCGAATTTTCCTCATGCTTTGTGCTTTGGGCTTATGGTTCCCGAGCGGACTGCAAAAATTTGCAGGATGAGCGGCTCTGACGGGGGGGCAGGAGTGGCTGGATCAGGCAATTCACCGCGCAATTCAGCGCGCGTCGGACTTTGAGCCGAGCATCCGCCCCACCCGCGCCCTGCTGGCTGCGCTGCTCGCTCGCTCGTTTCCGTATTTCCGACCATCTCTGGTCTTCCGTCTTCCGTATCTCCTTCCTCCGGCTCATCTCCGTTGATTCCGTTCCTCTGGTTTCCTCTGTTCTGTGTCAGACCTGGATGTCTTGGTAAGCCGTTCCATTCTTTTCACTCTTCCAGCGAATTCTAGGGTCCCAAATTGGGCTTGCGGCAACCAAATCCCAATTCAAATCGTATTCGGATTGCTTTGAGAGGTGGATCTATCACCCACCACCTCAGTCGTCATCGGCCATGGAGATCCTGTGAGGCCACTGCGCGATGATCACGAGCTCATCCACCGTTTTGATGCGGAGGGGTTTCGCGCTCACCCGTCCGGGGATCTCGTCGTATTTACCTCATGGAGCATGGATTGACGGTCGCAGTCAATATGGAGGCCATCCTGCGGAGACGACTAGATGGATGGATTGATTGCTCTTACGTGTGTGTAGGCCAATCTGGAAATGACGTGGCTGGTCGGGCCTGGCCAGAGCCCTCGCCATCCCTGCCCGTGCAGCTGCCGCTGGTGGTCCGACCCTTTCTTTGTCCTCGCCGACATGCGGCCATGGATCGTCGCTCGCTTGATACGACGTGTGACAACTGACAACCGAAGGGACGGGATTATCACTGAACATCATGCGCCTTTTCCACGACCCTTGATTTTTTTTTTTCGCACTATCATGACAGTCCCCACTTTGCTCCGCTCGGACTCCGACTCTATCCTCCTCATGGTAGTTATCCCAACGACAGTCCTTGAGAGTATGGTCTCCGACAGATTTTCGCCCACAGTCGCATTCCTTCTAACCCCGAATTGCATTTTTCTTATTAAGTAAAAATAAATGCAAGGAGAGCCCTAGTGAAGTTTTCGCGACGACCTTGCACGTGACCACACCTATCACTAGCAACACCCGCACTCTTCCGTAACCCTCACCACTGGCCAGGATGTCTCCCAACGATTTTCATCAGGATAAAGCTTCGGAAAACAGTATACAACATCGAAAGACGTCCAAATAAGCTTATATTTTAAGTCCAGCCCTCCCCGAACCCTTACAGCAGGTCATCCTCCAAACAGAGCGTTCAGCGGCCAGGTCCCAGGCCCACCCATTAGGCAGCCAGATATCGACTATATACCCCGGGTACATCGCAGCGGGACGATGGACCGAGAATACCAGCCTACCAGTCTTGGATGCGATCAGCTGTTCCCTCCCGGGTGGCGACCACCGTGCGAATCTCCAATCATCGTGCGGTGGCCGTGGGTGAGGCAGTAGGTGATAGGCCGCGGACAGTGGCCTCGTGGGTACCGCCGTAGTACTTGTTTCGAGGAGGTGATCTCGGTGTGCTGAGATGTACCTTATTGTAGAAGGAGGTGGGTTGAGTGGGCTGGTGGGTGGGTGGGTGTCTTCTGCCGTTTCGTCGGTGGACTCAGGGTCCTGTAGGGTTGTCATTCCTGCTCCGATGGTGTCTTACCAGAGCCGAGAGGTGCTCTCATTCGTGCATCTCGATCCTGCTGGATGATTAAGTGGTATTCTTTGTCTTATCTAAGCCTTCGTTGTTTGTACGGCTACCCCGGGTGTGTCTGGCCACTCTGGGAGGGCTTCCGGGGGGCGTAAGTTTTTGAGATTGAGCTCAGCCATCCAATCAAGGACAGGGAAGCGAGCTTGAAAGCATGCAGGAAATATTACCTAAACCGGGGTAGCTTTCCCTTGCTACATGTTCTAGTAGCACATCGGATGTACCGGGAACGATAGCTGCTCATGAATGAGCCAACATGACGGCGATATGCAGACACCACAACCACATAAGCAGAGATTACAACAATCGAATACAACTGAGAGGATACTACCGTATCTTAGAATACTTACAACATCAATCCAAACACTAACCTGCCCATCGTCCATCTCCGATCCGACATACCGCCGTGAAGAACATACATCACACCCGCACTCAGGGAATGATCATCCCAAGTCACGAATTTCATCACTTCGGACTACCTACATGAATGAATGACACATTCTCGCTCTTGCGTAAATAACCCGTTATTTCCTGTCTCCTTATTTTGTCTTTCTTCTCCAAGCTCCCTCCTGAATAGATTGCGACTTGATAATATAATCTCTGGTTAGATTCCATATTTCTTCCGATTCATAAGATAAAAGGAAAGATTATTTATACTCTACTTACACATTAGAAAGCATATACGTTGATTTATAGAAGCTATAGTATCGCTAAATAAATCCGAGTCGGGGTATCCTTCGGACTATGTACCTTAGCAGTAAGGTACCTCCGTATCCTTAGTCCTGGTGGAAAACATACTTACTAATACGTGACACATTACCTAGACAATAAACCCAGCCGTATCCACTCGATATGAGACAGCACGAAGTAAAGTTCGACTGAATAAAATCCAGAGCCCAGACAGAGAAAGGTCTATGATCTACTTCAGCCGACGAGGGGTGAGGGGGGGGTACATACTCCACCTGAACAATGAAATCAGAGGTATGGTCTGTCTGCTTTAGTTGGTCTGCGTCTTTCGAGCTGAACTTAGATTCAAAGTTTATGTTAGTTTTACTAGTCGCGGATGAATTGTCTGTTGTGTGCAACAATCTGCTATTTTATTTTATCGGGTGAATGGTCGTGGATTTCAGTACGTATGGCTCGGCATTTGCGAGGAATAGGTAGAGTAAGTTCGATCTTATCCTTTCACAGGAAGGATGGATGCCTGCTTGTAGCTAGTTGTAGCTTATGAACAAGTGCTAAAACATAGGCGTCTCGAAAGTCTTTCGAGAAGAATGTTATGAAATGCCCTGCGTAGCCGTAACCGTCTGGTTAGTTTAAGCTCCCAGACACCATTCCCTACCACGAACAGTGTCCACCATCCACCCGCAGATCCGCCCCCGTCATAAAACTACTTCCATCCCCGAGCATGAATAACACCGGCGCTCGAAACTCATCCACTGTACTTAACCGGAACAGCATGTTATCTCCCACCCACTGACTCTCCATTCCGGGTTTTTGGAGTGCTTCGGCCGTCGCTGCGGTACGGATATAGCCGGGGGAGAGGGAGTTTACCCTGATGAGGGGCATTCCGACACGGGAGCCCCATTCTGCTGCTAAAGAGCGAGTGAGTTGGTGCACGGCCGCTTTACTGGCGTTGTATCCGGCAGTATCGACGCCCTAGTGACATGTTAGGATTACTCGACAGACAGGATTGGGGAATGTTAAGAATACCTTATTCGACACATATCCACTCATACTAGCCACAAAGACTATACTTCCCGTGGTATTTGTCCTCATCACCTCCCGGGCAGTAGCCTGTGCGATGAGAAACGTCCCGGTGACATTAATGTCAAGTATACGGCGGAACGAGGAGACAGGAAATTCCGTCGCAGGGCCATTTCGAGATAGTCCGGCACAAGCGACCAGGCCCTTGAGCGGGTATCGTAGGGCAGGGATGAAGTGGGCGAAGGTCTTCTCCACAGCAGTTTCGTCCGTCACGTCGAGGGGGTAGTAGGTCAGTTGGCATGAGTATCTGGTTGCAGCGGCTTTGACTTCGTCTATGATCGAGGATTGAGATTAGCGTGATTCATGTTTCTTATTGGAGTATGGGCTCACTCCAGTTCGAAGCGGTCGGATTGGGTGCGAGATCAAGGCAGACGACATCGCCGCCGCTTTCCAGAATGGCGATTGCAAGTGTGGTTCCTAAGAAGCCGGTGGCGCCGGTGACTAAATATGGTTTCAGATTAGTTGAAGTGCTGCTGGAATATAGATAGGGGATCTCGCTTATGATGGTGCGGTTATCGAGACGAAAGAGCTCTGAGACAGGGCGTGAGGGGTCGCCTTGGGATGGTTTGGCTTCGCGGAACTCGAGGCCGTGGACGTTGCAGTCGCTTCGCATGCTCATGGTGGAGATGGTGACCGGGAAGAGATACCGAGAAGTTATGTGATAGAAGAGGATAGAAGAAAAGGTAGGTTTCCTTATGGAACAAGAGGAAGAAGAAGCCAGTATACGGCATCCAGGACCTCATACCCCTCATAAGGCGGGGCTGTCTCTTCCTTGTTGATGCATGGAGAGTCAGGCTGCATGCAGTGACCCCTCACGGATGACGGCCCGTGGGAAATGATCTCCGGCGATTTCGTGCACCTCTCCCAAAAGGGAACAGTTAAAGGCTTAGACAATAAGGCTAGCAGGTGTTTGGTTCATGGTCCTGTGCTCGTGCCAAAGTATTACACCTCCATCTAAGCGCTTCCTAGGACAAGCGCTAAGCTTGATGATCTCTGCAGGACAGGTCCGTCGACGATACCAGCAAACCTATTCAGCAAGTGAAACAGACATTTTTGTGATGGAGCTGGACCTTGTCGTATACAAGGGTCATGATTACGATGCCGGATGAAGTCCCGACCTTGGTAGCGATATACCATGCCTGCGTGGCGCCGAATCGGATGGCGTTGTCACCGGAGACGACGACGATCCAGCTGGGGCCGTTCTTCTTGATTTCAGGAATCAGGACTTTAGATTTAATGGAAGCACTTCGCACATAACATTGAACGGGCGGTGAAATCCTCAACCGTGACATAGATGCCGGGCTTGTTAAGGCATGACCACCAGTGAAGATATCGAAGCACATCTGTTGACCTTAGCCCAGAGTGGTATAACACATTTTAGCTCAGTTTCATCACAGCAAGGCCGGCTGGCCCAATGGTAAGGCGCTTGACTACGGATCAAGAGATTGCAGGTTCGAGTCCTGCGTCGGTCAACTTTTTTGGTTTTTTGGAAATCCATCATGCCTAGACAGGTAGGTGGGTTAATTTTTTTGGTCCCTCTCATTTTCTTGTACTCCATACGACTGGAAGCTTTTGCCTATGGTAAATTCTGTTAGTACGCCAATTACTGCACGGATGATGCAGGGGTTCCAGAATACAATTGCCTGGAAACGCACCGGTTGTCTTTGTTGATAGTTACGCCGGGAACACTCGTGTGGTAGCCATGTACCTGCAGTATCCATAGTACCTGGCCGATCTAGTACAATTTAAGTGTGTAATGAGTGCGGTTGGTGTGTTTATGATGGGTCCTTACAATATTATTCGCCGGGGCTCTCCAGTTCTGGACAGGTTTCTCATTGAATTGGTGTACCTTGACCAGGAATGCTTCTTTGATAAACAGGCGAAAGATCTATCCAGTGCGAACTTCGATTGCAATTATCAAGAAAAGGGTCTTATAGAGGGAATGACGACTGTGAATATCAGGAATCACCAACTGCGTAACCCGTCTTATTCGAGGCTAAAATCGGGTTGATATGGTGGGTATCACTACGAGAGCATTTATATAGAGCTTGGTGTGTCGGGTATGTACTCAGAGATCAGCGGTGAGTATGACCAGGATGGTCTACGGTGAGGTTGCTATTGGAAACGGGTTAAGGACGAGATAGGTCGGTTTATGCAGTTGAGTGTTCATCACCGTCGGTGATATATTCTGGTGACCCACATGATTGAGGATCCACCATCGTAGAGTCAGATCTGCATTCCAACCTGTAAGCTCTTCCAGCACGCCCACTGGTGATGGGGCACTTCTGCGAGCTTAAGCAATACATCGACCAGGCATTGGCATAGCTAGACAGCTGTTGTCGCAAAGCGCAATTTCCCTCGAGTTCCGGGTTTATCCGTTCTAACTCGGGTATCTGCTTCCATATGCTTCACCCCACCCTCTTCGGCTTCTATCTGGGTGAGTTGATCACAAGGAATTCAGGGTAAGGTTCTTTGGCCGCTGGTCAGCTCAGAGCTATTTCATCATCGGGTCGGTGGCAGTTGCGAGATGGGAGGCGTTGCCAACGAAGCTGCTTCACTGGCCGGTCGTTAGGAAATCGGTAGCTTGGTGCTGATAAGGAAGTCTTTATCAGTATGTGGGTCAAAGCTCAGCTTGCTCATCATTTGCTAGATAGATGAAAATATCCAATGCAACTTCACTGAGAATGTCCACAAGCTGTTCAAAGTATATAGCTGACATGTTGACTCGACCGCAATTAAACCATAGTCCTCAAGTACCCCAAAAACATGAAAGAAACCTCCATAATCCGATATGGTGTAGTGGCTAACATCGCCGTCTCTCACACGGCAGCCGGGGGTTCGATTCCCCCTATCGGAGCTCAAATTTCCTTTTTTGACAATTTGTCTTTTTATCTGCACGTAGTGTAAACCTAGGACCTTACTAGACACTGTTTTGGTGTCAATAGATATCTAAAGGGGTCTGATGCCATTCATATCTTTGCCGTGCAGCCGGCATCGACAATCTGATATCAATCTGTTTGGCGCTTCCGACTTTTGCGATGAAATCTTCGAGATGGGATTGGCGCAAGCCCATGAAAGGCGAGCCTACACAGAGAAGATTGTTAATAACTGGTCAAGTGTAGGTCTGCTATACAGCATGATCAAGAGTATCCCGTTGAACCAAAGCTAGGCACTATACATGTGGCCTCTGTAAAATATCACTTAATTGCTAAGTTGTAAATATGAGAGTCTTGATCAAGCCATGATGAGGTCATTAAGATCTTGTTGTTTGGGAAGAGCTAAAATATGAATATGACAGATTAGTCGTACAAGTACGTCCTCTGGCTGGGACATGTCTTTTTGGCCGGGTAGTCTGTTGTATAGATGTGGAAGTATCAACGGGATGTAGACGAACAAGATGTATGAACTGATCACTAAGTCGCATAATTTAGGGCATAATGAACCATCACCAACAGACGCAGAGTCAGAAAGGCCATCTTGTATTTCTATCTATCTAACCACGCACAGCATACTGACGTAGTGTTCATGATGTTGGAACAGCAACCTCATTCACCCTGATTGATCGACAATCTAAGAAAGCAAGCGACGGTCTCGGCTGCCTTCACACCCTCAGGTCTGACTTCTACTTCGGTTCCATTCGCTTTCATGCCCTGACCGTTCTGATCAGAATTGAGTTCTTTGGCAATATCGGCAATCTCAGGAACCTTAACAGTCACGAAGTCATCGGACTTTTCAAACTCTTCAGTAGCTCTTTCCTCCACAGAACGCACCCTTTCCCGACCATCAGACAAGAAGGCCATGAGAGCACTTTGGCGGGCTTCCAAGCGCTCGACATTCTTTTTGGCCGCATCTATCCTTCTAGTGAGCATCCGTAGCTCATTTCTCTGTACCAATTAGTACTTATGTATCGAGCGGTGGCCGCTCTGATAGTGAGGGGTGGATGCCATACAGCTTGTATGCGAGACCAGTTCGCGAACTCGCTGCTTTTCTTTCGGTGATTCATTTTGCGCCTTTGGCTGGCGGGAGTCTAGGACAAAAAGCTATTAATGTGTGGACACAAGACATAGAGATATAATGGGGAGTTAGGTACCTGGGGAGCCATAGTTGGATTCCGACAAGTTATTTCCCGGTCGTGTTTATCTGAGTGTTGGAGGAGACCTTCGCCCATGACGGTAATGGGGACGGAATCGGTGGGCATTACTTTGAGACGGCTGGCTAAACGGATGTCGATGATCTCGGGAGAAGACGCAGATGGATGATATCCAGAGCGGAGTGTAATAGAAGTAGAATTAGAGAACGACGCTCATACGATGCACGGTATGGATAGGAGTGTGATTTGCGAGTGTGGGTAGATGTACTATCGCAACAGGCGCAAGGTCTCTGCTGGCTTGGTCTATCGAAACTGCCGAGGTCATTTCATATGGCAGGTGCAGGACACATGGAATCAAAATTTACCTGACTGGTCTTTCCTCATTCTATTCGCCAGGATAAGGATTTAGCTTTCCTACTGCCTCAATGTACGAAGAATATGTGAAGGCGTTAACATCTCATTAGACAAGTAATGGTTCTCAATGATAATAAGAAGAGAGAAAGGGGAAAAAAAAGAGCGAGCTCAGGCATTCTCTTCCTCCCCTCACCCTTTTCCTTCCCTTTGTTCCTTCTCTCCACCACTGCATTTCTGCGAGATTTCCGCCTTACAGGCCTCCCCAGTTATTATGCTCATCTCTGTCTTCTGTATGAGATCCATGATTGCATCAGACTAATGTGCCTAAAGACTATATCACATATCAGTACTTGTATTATCACGCAAAAGGGCGACTTGCACCTGAGTTTAGTTGTTCAATATCAAGCCGCGACGTCACACCTTTTGTCTCTGGAATTAACGGTTAGGTCTTTCCTGGATATCTCTTCATTAGCAGGAATGCCCGAGTCTCGAGCTTCAGGACGTTTAAATTACCGTGGTATCGCTGGTAGCCTTCGCTAAGTCCTTTTATTCTTGTCCTTTCGTGTTGTAAAGCTTCTCGATGAATATGAGTTACTAACATCCCTCGGTTCCCTCTGCAGGCTACTTCAAGTGGATCATGTCTCCTCTTCCTCCTCCCGCTCCTCCGGAACTTGAGTCCACCAGATAGACCATTGCTCCAATATCCTCATATAAAGGCAGACTTATTGGGAGAGCCTGCTTCCTAAGGAGGCGAATATTGGGGGAATGACAAGAGTGGAAAGCAGGATATCGTGCCTACTTAGAAGCATACGCAGACAAACAGGGTTTGCTGGTCACTGCCAAACCAGGCCATCGACCAAGGAGGATAACAGCCAAGAAGAAAAGATGTCTTCCAGGACTATATCGAATCGGTAGAGAGAGCTACCCTGGATTACAGGGCAGAGCATAGATACGCATATACCTCGCGAGCAACGGTCTCCCAACGATACTTCTTTGTGGACCTGTTCTGATGCCTCTGGCCATTTCTTCAACCTTGGGGCGCACCTTTCCTATGACCATGATGCTCTATACGTATTCTGAGAAGTTACCTACGCTTCATGTCTATTTGATCGGTCATTTGAATGCTGCTGGTCGCGAAGCCTCCGCTCGAGATAGCAGACGAGGTGTCCTCTGCCGTGCAAGGCAGTTATTTAGCTGAAATGCGCTTTCTGGTACATTTATCGGCCTTTTAGTATTATTCCCAAGCTGAAATGTATATATTACGGCTAGTGGTCATCTATATATCTACTCCCAAAATTTAATGTATGAAGAGAGCAAGGGAACATGGACAGGAGATAGGGTGGCATATAGGGGGAGAGGAGAGGAAGAGGTGCTTTTTCAGGCTTACATCTGTCTTTGTCAGATTGACCTCGCATCTGTTTCAGGCAAGTCTCGGTGGCAGGTGTCTCTTTGAGACCTCCCTGTGTGTTCCACTGGCAGGTCTCTTGCATAGATTCCTATGGCTTCATCAGCCGCCTGGGCGGTGATCAAGTTGACTATCACCTCTTGAAGAGGCCAGCTGGTTGCTGGGTAATCAAGGAGAGCGGAGAAGGAGCGGGGCTGACGGATGGAGAGAACGTAGGCAATGCGAGGATGGAGAGGGTGGTGATGAAGGTTGTAGAATGAGGGGGATTGATGAAGGAGGGAGGAGAGGTGAAGATGGGTGGAGAAGAGAAGGAAAGCGAGGCTAAAGATGTTCTCAATCATACAGCCTTGATCACGCGATCTCGTACCGCCAGTGTAAGTATTACGGTCTGTAGATCGATGCATTGTACCTATTTAGTTAAGTATATTCACCTTGATGATATACAACATGTAAGATTGGGATGTGCTGTGTTCAGGGGATTGCTGTCTGTAAGTATATCTCGTAGCCTGGCATCTGGATTGTTGTTGCTAGGTGATAAATTCTCAGAAATATAAGATCTCGTTGATCTATACATCATGCCTTGGATGCCCATACTCTGCCATGTCTGTCAGAAGTCCCTTATAAAACCAATGCAAGATACTTTGCAAGTGTAGGTATAGCGGCTGTGATCAAGTCACAGAAGCAAAGAAATGGAATCGTGTATTAGTAAAAGAGATAGTCTATACTCTATATAATGGCTCACCAGACCAATATCACAACCACCCTCAAGTCCATACGCATCACCTTCGCAACCTGCGAAAACCCATTCCCCTAATCTGCTTCCCAAACACCATCAGAACAACCACCCCTCCAAATGCAGGAATTGTAAACAGCCCAGAAGATCCAAACACCCATCCAGGACCAAAGCTATTGTTCCATGGTGTGATGAATACAGTCGTGAGCAATCCCAAGATAAGTCTCCAGATGCCCAATGCCGCCGCCACCTCTGAAACATGATTCGGGAAACACTCGCAAAGATATGTCATTGTAATAGGGAGGGTCGATATTGCACCCACACTAATCAAAAGGTATCCAAGTGCCAAAATCGCCCAGTGGAAATGATACTCCAGGCTTGCCCCAAAGAGGCCGAGACCGATGGGGAGCAGAACCACTGGGAACCAGAGGCAGTGGAGTCTGTATTCTGGACTCCATTCCGTAGGTTCGATCTCATTCGCTTTGGTCTTTCGGCGAAGGATGTAAAATGGAAGTCTATCGCTGATGAAATGGCCGTACACTTCTACCAGGAGGACGCCGATTGTTTGGGTAATGGTGACTAGTATTTTTGTTAGCGAATTGGACGAAGACAAAAAGGTCTGGGGGAGTACATGAAGCCACTGCCATCTTCGACATGCCGTATCCACCTTCATCTCGGGGAGCCTCGAGAAATGTAACGTTGAGGACGAAAGCCATTGTAGCGAAGCCAAAGTCAACCATGATGAAGAATCCTATTATGACAGAGACAGGGGAGAATGTGACAAGCAGGATATCGTAGAGAATAAAAATCTTCTCATCATTAGTGCCAATTAATAATGTTAATGCAAAAAGTAATTGGACTCACAAACTCCATCCAACTAACCCTAGACGACGGCGGTATTGCCCTTCCACATGCGTAGGTATTCCACCTTCGCTGTAACAAAGAGACTTTTGTTTGCTCATCCTCAGTAAAGTACGTATCTTCGAGAAGGGCGAGAATCAATACAGCCAACACGCCGTTCAGCGGCACCGTATACCAGAAAGAAATTGTCCAGGAAGTCCGCCCATCGATATATGCACCTATTGTCGGACCCATCGAGATCCCCAGGAGATAGGGAATGTGGATAAAATGGAGGCATTTGCCTCTCTGATGGCGAAAGAAGGTCTGCAAAACGACTTCCGAGCCAAGTATCAAGGGAACGCTTGCGCAGAGACCAGAAACAAGACGGGATATCAGAAACGGGGTGTAGTCTGATGGGGCGGTCATCAGAGCGGACCACACTGAGGTGAGAAGCTGGCCGATAGTCGACCAGAAGAGGCAGAAGCAAGAACCGTACCGACGGCTAAGAGGAATGATGAGGACGGCACCGACAATGAGGCCAATTAGAGCGAATGATACCTATTGCTTTCAGTGATATGCTTCTATGGCCCTAGTATGCCACGTACGGAGAGAGAAATCTGAGTCGCCGTCTTATGGTAAAGCGGCACCTGGAGGTATGATCCTTGCGTGTTCGTCAAACAAGTAGCTTCACAGACAAAGCAGGCAAGCGCCCAAATTGCGAGCGTAAGGTTTTTCTTTGAAGGCTCCCAGTTCTGACTCCTCGTCAACTGTTGCTCGCACTAGCTCATTGAAGAACATACCAAAGGATCGTTGGGGTTGTCTGATGGCTGTGGGTCGAGCACGAGGCCATCAGGAGTGGTTTTGAGGCCATGAACGGCCGCCTGGGGCTCCTCGTCCTTGAGCATGGTAGTTGATTTGAGGATGGATAGGTCGTATCCGACAACCACCGGGGTTCATGACGAGGTTCATGATGGTGATGAGGCCTTCCCCTTGCGTCTGAGTAAGCTAAATACATCCCACCGCTGATAAGCTTAACGATGTTATTGTATAGCCAAAGTGCTCATTCCTGGATTGCCGGTTTCTGCGGCATTGAAGAAACTCCGCGGATGTTGGGGAAGACGCAAGCGCAAGTCATGCAGGACTCTTGCAGCCGGTCCGAGCTCTCCTCTCTCCCTTTCCTCTGCAGCGATACCCGACCACCCCTCTTTCATCCTGTCTCATAACCTCAAAAAGTCTTTATCCATCGGAATCACTACAATACCCGCAGAATGACTGTGACTGAATCACCTTTTACCATTGACAACCTTCCGTATGGGGTGATTTCCACCCCCGAAAAGCCAACTCCGAGATGTGCCACGGCTTTGGAAGAAGACGCCATCGACCTGAGTGCACTCGAAAGAGATGGATACTTTAAGTCCATTCCAGGGTTCGAAGGCGAGGTCTTTTCCATGGTAGCTAACGAAACCCCCTTCTCCTCTCCCTCCCAGTTCTAACTCCTTCAGCCAACCCTAAACACGTTCGCCTCTCTCCCCAAAGAAACGCACGTCCAGACCAGAGCAGCGCTTCTCGACCTCCTTTCGGACAATGATATTCGCAAGGCCTATGCCATTCCACTGTCGAAAGTGCAAAACCACCTTCCGATGGAAACGAAGAACTTCAGCGACTTTTACTGCTCGCTCGAGCACACTAGAAATGTACGTCTACTCTCATACCCATATTCCAACACTGACATGAGAAGTGCTCTGAGCTCTTCTCCCTCAAACCCCCACCTTCATGGTTCGTCATCCCCTCCGTTTACAACGGGAGGCAGAGCAGTCTCCGTATTTCCGGAACTCCAATCCGTCGACCCTGGGGTGTGACAATCGATCCTAACAGACCAAATGACCCTCCTGCCTTCAGACCCAGTTCACGCTTCGACTTTGAGCTGGAAATGGGAGTTTATCTATCTCATCCTCTTCCCCCTGGAGAGATTCTCGACATTAACAACGCAAAAGACCACATATTCGGCCTAGTGATACTAAATGACTGGTCTGCAAGGGATATCCAATCGTTTGAGATGGCGCCGCTGGGGCCATTCCACAGCAAGGGATCTGGAACAAGCATTTCGCCGTGGATTATACCTATTGAGGCATTGGAGGGATCACTCTGCCATGCTAGGCCGCAGGATCCCGCCCCGTTGAGACATTTGGCCTGGAAGGGCGAGGAAGATGAGGCTACGTTTGATATTGAGTTGACTGCGAGGGTCATTCGTAAGTTTACCCTCCCTTCACCAACACCATACTGATGGCTTCAGGGAAGGGTAAATCATACACAGTTACGGAAACGAATCTAAAGGAACTCTACTGGACACCATTCCAGCAGATTACTCACCTTTGTAGTGCCGGCGAGGGCCTCTCGACAGGTGATATTTTTGGAACCGGCACCATAACCAGTGATGTTCGTCATCTCCCTAAAATATCCATCTGTACTAACAGGAAAAGCGTACCAACGACCAAGGCGAGCAAATCGGAGTTGCTTGTCTTCTCGAACGGGGTCTGGAAAGGAATATTCTCTCTGAAGCCAGCAAGGATGGTCTGCAGTTTCTAGAAGACGGGGACGAGGTGGTCATGGAAGGATGGTGCGTCAACCACCTCACTGGGGGAAAATTCGGCTTTGGGGAATGTCGTGCCATGATTCTTCCTGCTTTGGCTGAGGGATCGTGGGAGTGATGTCGCTTCACAAGTACCCACCGCGCGATTGTATTGCTGCATGAATACCATGAACTAGTATGGAGTACGGAGTACTCCATACTAGTTCATGACATCTGCCTACATCAAGATATAAATTGTCTACGGGAATCCACACAAAGCCACATGACCCCCTCAACCAATCAAAGATCCACCAGGTTAATCCCCGAGTAACCTACCCAATACGGAATACACTCACATAGAAGACGCATCGCCAATCCAAGAATGCAAGATAAGCCACCTACCTTGATGGTGCTCCCTTCATTCCGGACTCAGACACACGTCATACCATCGCCAATCAAAATAACCCCATCTTCAGTCTACTTATAAAATGTTATTCCGATCCTCGGAGATTAACTCGGTATCCATCGAGTGAGACTCCCCAACCGACCACATCCTATCTCATCCCTTGCTGACTACCTATTGTCGACAGCGAAAAAAGAAGGGTAGGGATCGACAGTGCTACCTATCCCACTATTTATGTAATCCTAAAGAAAGAAGGTCAGATAAGATAAACGACATAGTAACATGATAACAATAAACGTTGGGACATGTTATATTCTACCTTCTACGCCAGGGATATACTATTATTCCCTTTGATCTGTGTGGTTCTTGACAATAAACAAAGCATAGCACGACGAACACCAGCGTAGTAAGTAACATTACATTTGATTCACCGCAGCTATCGGCTAAAAGTGTGTCTGAGATTGGTAATCTGGGGTTGAACCACTTACTTATTTCCTACTATAGTATGGGATTAGGTCGCGCAGGATACGGTTCCTAGGAATAGAAGTTTGGAATAAGTGCGGGGATTAAAGCAAATGTAAAACATAAGGTTAGTTGAGGTAGTCAGCAAAATGAAACCCTCTTGAGTCATTTTACCAGCCAGTCATCGGACAGGTGGCCATGAGGGATTAATTTGGGGGAAGGAAGAGGGGGTAGAGGCGGGGGCGCCGCACAAACAACGCCTTCTTCCACATTACGAGCTCGGGAGCACTCAGCTACTTGATTTAACACCTGGACTTTCGCTTTGGATTTGTTCTAGCTAAATTCATTCCTATTGTCATCAAACATAACCATGAATCATCACCCATCAAGGGTTGATTCGCTTCAACGGGGCGCTACGAAATCAGGGCATCGCATCGAGGTGGCATGGACGGCGTGCAACCGCATCCCTCATGCTTGAGCTTCGAGTCATGGATAAACCATGCCGATGGAATATGCACTCCTGCCCATGAGTCCTGTCGTTAAATATGGCAAGCCATCGTCCCTGGTCGGAAAAGCCCTACTCAGATGCTGACGATGTCCACACTGTCGCGTTGCGTCAATGTTCCAAGTTTAACCCAATGCACTCTTCACTAGGATCCCACCCGTCATCCTAACGATTTGTTGTGTTTAATTCTCAAGGGTGACCTTGACCTTCTTCTCGGGTGGGGGAACGACCTCATTCTCGGCCGCGCCGGTGAGGGTCGGGAGCTCGGTGACAGCCTCCTTGATGATGTCCAAAGCCTTCTGGATCTCGTCATCGGTGATCACCAAGGGTGGCGCCAAACGGATGATGTTCTCGTGGGTTGGCTTGGCCTAAACGGAGTCAGCTTCTGATTAATCACGCAGGCCAGCAAGGTAACTTACCAACAGACCCTTGGACTTGAGCAGCATGCAAAGATCCCACGCGGAGTGTCCGTTGGTCTTGGACTCGTCGATAACAATGGCATTGAGCAGGCCCTTGCCGCGCACCGTCTGGATGACGGGGCTTCCAATGGCCTGCAGACCGTCGCGGAAAACGTGACCGAGCTTCTCAGCGCGCTCGACCATATGTTCCTCCTGGACGACCTCCAGCGCGCGGATAGCGACCGCACAGGCCAGCGGGTTACCGCCATAGGTCGAACCGTGGGTTCCCGGCTCGATGGTGAGCATAACGTCCTTCCGACCCAGTACGGCGGAGACGGGGTACATGCCACCGGAGATGGCCTTGCCCAGCAGCACCATGTCAGGCTTGATTCCGCTCCACTCGTGGCAGAGCAACTTGCCAGTGCGAGCAATACCGGTCTGGATCTCATCACAGATCAACAGCACGTTATGCTTGTCACACAGGGCTCTGGCCTCCTGCAGGTAATCCTCATCGGGAACCACGATGCCCGCCTCGCCCTGGATGGGCTCCACCAGGAAAGCGGCCAGATTAGGCCCCGCCTTCTCGAAGGCCTCCCGCAATGCCGCCTTATCGTTGTATGTGATAGGCTTGTCCGTTCCGGGAATGGTGCAGCCGATACCGGGCAAGTAAGGGCCATAGTTCTCGCGCGACTCAGGGTCAGACGACAGGGAGATGGCAGCGAACTGGTCGAGACATTGATTAGTTCGATTTTAGGTGAGGAAGCGAGGGGTTATCTGGGCGCTTACCGTGCGTCCGTGGAAGTTGTTCTCCGCACTCAGAACGACCGCCTGATTCTCCGGGATCCCCTTCACCTTATAGCCCCACTTACGGGCGATCTTGATGCCGGTCTCGACAGCCTCCGCACCCGTGTTCATGGGCAGGACCATGTCGAAACCGAAATACTTGGTGACAAACTCAGCGAAGCGGGGGAAGACATCGTTGTAGAAGGCACGGGAACTAAGGGTCAAGCGAGAGGCCTGATCGACAAGAGCAGCCACCAGCTTAGGATGGCAGTGACCCTGGTTGACGGCCGAGTATGCGGACAGGAAGTCGAGGTATTGGCGGCCCTCTGGATCCCAGACCGTGGTGCCCTGTGCGCGAGCAAAGACGACAGGAAGCGGGTGGTAGTTGTGAGCGGCGAACTCCTTCTCAGCCTGGATGGCCTCCTGGGTGGTGGCAGCATGGTACGAGCTGACGCCGTTCACGCCGTTGGTTTTATGGGTTCCATTGGTACCGTTGGACGCCATGGTGAAAGGAGAGAGGGGCAGTCGATGTGTTGAGTGGGTGAGTAAGTGAGTAGATGGGAGGGTGGGGGGGAGAGACAAGGAGAAATAGTGATAGGAAGAGGAGGGACGGGGTATCTGAAGTATAAGATAAGAAAGAGCGGACGAAAGAAAGTGGGAGAGACGTGGTATAAGAAGGACGAAGCCACGGACGGGAGAAAAGCAGCAGCGCCTGGAATGCTTCACCGATTGGGCTCGCCAACAAGAGAATTGTGACTGAATATTTTTTCCAGGGCCGAAGCTATACCGTTAAGTGCAGGTGTAGGCGGAACGAATCCCTAAGTGCAGGTGGAAGCGATCATGATGTCTTTCTGACTAAGGCGCCGCTCCGATCCACCGCCGCCCTCTCCGGAATCGTCCTCGCAACCATTCATCGTCGCGCCATTACGCTCGTCTGCCCCACGGTGGATCTCTGCGCTTGCTATCGGCCCGGAACACACTAGTAAACAGTGACCAGGTGGTATCTACGGACTATCTACGGACTACGGCGTACCCAATACTCGGGTCAGCTCCTCCTCCTTTCCACGCCCGTCGACTTACATGGCGCGCCTGACCCGTGACGACCGATAGTGCGAGTGCTAGTGCTGCAGACGACGCGACGGCGGCTTTGCTGACATCACTCCCCCATCCCAAACCACCTCCTTCGTCAATCCCCCCATCCGACGTCAGTCAGTCCAGAGGCCCCATAACCTAATCACCAGAAATCCGGGGTACCAGGCGTGTGCCTGACTAGGTCCACCGCAATCATGTCGGAACTTCGTCGGCGACGGAGAGCCTCCTCGACGGCCTCCTTATCGAGCAACTCCGCCGCCAGCTCGCATTCCTCCGATCCGGACCTGAGGCCAGCCTCCCCGGCCGCCTCGTCCTTCTCCGCCCTCCTCTCCACTCCGCCATCCGTCCTTCGCGTCTTTCTCGTTCTCGTGGCCTTCCGTCTTCTGAACGCATTGACCGTCCGAACTTTCTTCCAGCCTGATGAATTCTACCAGTCTCTCGAGCCGGCCTGGCAGGCCGCCTTTGGGGAGAGCCACGCGCCGTGGATCACTTGGGTGAGTTTTCTTTGTTCATTGGACCGTCTCGTCTGCACTGCTCCTGCAACTCCAAGACAAACGACCTCCCTGTCCGCCAATCTTCTTGGCTCCAGTGACTAATCCAGGCCGATGTCATCATACAGGAATGGCGCCACCAATTGAGATCCTCCCTTCACCCTCTCCTCTTTACCGCTGTTTACTCCACCGCCAACCTGCTAGCTCGCCTTCTCCGCCTTTCCCCCGCATGGCAAGCGGAGCTCCTTATTGCCGGCCCCAAGATAGTGCAGGCCATTATCGCGGCCGCTGGCGACCTTTATACCTGGCGATTGGCTTGTTATGTGTATAATCCATTGTCTCAGGAGGCCTGGGCTGCGGTACGTCTCGGGAGACCGCCATCCATTGCACCAAGACTGACTGCAGACTTAGCTGGCGTTGACCGTTGTCAGTCCCTGGCAATGGTTCTGTTCCACCAGGACTCTGTCCAATTGTCTCGAGACCTCCCTCACCGTCGCTGCCCTCTGCCAGTGGCCGTGGGAATGGTCATCAGGCCCCTCAACAACTACTGGGTCGGATGAGCCCGAGATAAAAGTCCAGACAAATGAGGAGCAGCCTGACGGTGATAGTCTTACCAGGTATGCCCATGTGTCCTCGGTTGTATCTATAAATGTGTGCTGATGCCGTTTCGGAGACAGGTTTCGACGATGCCTTCTGCTCGCGGCTGTAGCATGTATACTGCGGCCCACCAATATCCTAGTTTGGATGGTCCTTGCTGGCGTGTTGTTATACCGGAACGATTGGCCACGGCGAGCTATTCTTGTCCGTGAAGCCTTGCTTTGTGGGTAGGTTAAAGTTCTTCTACTAGCCCGTTGTGCAACAGCTTCTAACACTTCGACAGCTCGCTTGTTCTATCCGTGTCGGCTACCGCAGATCGATTCTTCTACGGGTTCTGGACTTTTCCACCTTTCCGGTTCCTGTATTTCAATCTTGCGCAATCGTTAGCTGTCTTCTACGGGCAGAACGACTGGCATTACTATGTGTCCCAGGGCCTTCCTCTCCTCCTTACCACGGTCCTGCCGTTCACCATTTTTGGCTTGTATCGCTCGTTGTCCCAGCCGACCGCGGGTGCGTTCAACAAGTTACAAGCTTCAGTGCAGGTTCAGCTCGCATCCGTGTGCTTCATCATGCCTCTGGCGCTTTCGTTGATCTCTCACAAGGAAGTGCGATTTATCTATCCATTACTACCGTCATTGCACGTCCTTACTGCGCCTACTCTGGCGAAATTCTTTGGTCCCGCGGTGACCACGGGAAGCGGAAGATACTTCCCAAGGCGCCTCATCTTGTCTTTCTTGCTCCTAGCGAACGTCTTCATTGCGTTCTACACGACTGTTATCCATGCATCCGGCCCACTGGCCGTGTTGTCATACCTCAGGGGTCAGCGACAGCTCCACGGTTCCAGCAACATAGCCGATCCTTCCCAGTCCGGGATCACAGCGGGGTTCCTCATGCCCTGTCACAGTACCCCGTGGCGCTCACACCTGGTTTATCCGACCATTAATGCCTGGGCACTGTCTTGCGAGCCCCCTGTCGGGCTCAACGCCTCCGAGAAAGCGGAGTACTTGGATGAGGCGGACCAGTTCTACGCCGACCCTGACAAATTTCTGCGCGCAAATATGGTTGGCGGGTTGCGTCGATTCCCCCGGAGGCCAACCTACAACGACTATCGGAGACCTCGACAGTTGCCCACGGAGTACCAATCCACTAGCCCGCATGAGTGGCCTGATTATCTCGTCTTCTTCGCCCAGCTGGAGCCCACACTGCGGAGTCTTCTCCGTTTCTCCTCGTACAAGGAATGCCATCGCACTTGGAATACCGCCTGGCATGACGATTGGCGCCGCCGGGGCGACATAGTTGTTTGGTGCATGGATCCACAGGAACAGGGATCCGATTTGCAGCGGCAACGCGAGAGCCGGGATCGCCGATTCGACGACATTCTGCAAACCATCAAGGGTTCCGTGGCTGGCATGGGTAAGCAATCTTCACCGCGCCCATGGTCATCCTTATTCTCAGGTCCGTCGCGGCCGTGGTCATGGTCGTTACCATGGCAACACCGCAGACGCACAACCATTTTCGGGATCGAATTGCCCAGCTGGATGACACCGTCTTCGAAGACTTCGAAATGGCTGTCATCGTGGAAGCTTCCCAGCTGGGAGGAATGGGATAGACGGTTGAACGATCGGGCAAATTGGGCTTGATCTAGATTCTACATATATAATCTTCATCTTGGTGTTACCCCTTTTTTGGGTTGTATATTCGAAATGTTACCCCAGATACCTTGTCCATACATGCAATAATACGACCATGCGGAGGGGGTGGTTATAGAGACTTCAATACCCAAATATCATTGATTTTGTCCGGTGATCCAAAACTATATCCAACTAAGTCTATGCAACAATTTGCCCGACAAACAAACTATATACCTTTCCGTCACGGGCGACGGAAATCTCAACAGAGTCTCGGCAGTAGGAGATACTAGACAGACAGGAAGGAATATGTACCCACCGTTAAAACGCCGCCAAGGATGCAACATCTTTGGTACTGTACACTCGCCCGAAGGGACTAATGGAACAGTAGATCCGAACTATATATAAACAAGACAAAAAAAAGGAAGAGGAGAAAAGTGAAAAGAATCTGTAAGGTGGAATAAATATTGAATGGATTCCAGAATTGATAAGGGAACTATCCATATCGTGCACTCAGACTGGCAAATGCATCGGGACTGTGTCTTCCGCTCTGGAAGCCATTGATGTCGACGCTTTGCTGGCTCATATGGCCTCGGGGGAACCCACCGGTGGGTTTGTTGGGCATTGCGTAGGTCGCCGTCGGTTGCTGCGGTGCCTGTGCGGCGGGCCTGTAAGGTGCGGCCGCTGCGGGAGCAGGGGCAGGAGCTCCCGGTTGGGTGGTGAAGAAGGGATTGCGGGCTCCCGCTTGGGGGTCTGTGGGAGCCTGCTGCTGTTGTTGGGGCATAGCGGTAAAGGGGGAGGGTTGTTGGGGTTGAGTATTGAAGGGTGCGGGTTGGCTGGTCTGGGTAGTTGTGGGTCCGGCCATCGGGTTCAAGCCCATAGAGGGTTGGTATTGCGATTGTTCGGGGATAGAGGGCGGTTGGGGGGAGAGTTGGTAGAGAGAGAGGATACTGTTCTTGTCGACGCGGCCGGTAGGCTGCGAGCGGAGATACTGCGCAGATGCTTGGTATCCGAACTGGGGTTGCGTCGCGTACCCTGGATGCTGAGGTGTAGCGGGTGCGGTCATGGTCTGGTAGGGGTTGAGGGAGCCCTGAGGTTGTTGGAGGGTTTGCTGCATCTGGAACTGCGGTTGCGGTTGCGCCTGGGGCTGCTGCTGCTGCGGCTGCACCTGCACCTGCGCCTGAGCCTGAGCCTGCGCCTGGAGCTGTGACTGGAAAGGCGAAGGCTGGCTGAAAGGCGATGTGGACGGCATAACGGGCATGGTGTTTGCGTGTCGGAGTGGACCGAATGGGGAGACTGACGTAGCAGCCGGGGCCTGGGTTTGCGGTGGCTGCATCGCGGATGACTGCGGTGCGACTTGACTAAAGAAGGGATTTGTCTGGGCGACATTGGGGTTCGGATTGGGGGCTGGAGGGGTCAAGCTGGCCTGCGGCTGAGCTCCGGTCTGGAAGAAAGGATTGTGGCCACCGTCTAATGGCTGCGGAGAAGAGACATATGGGTTCTGGGCGAAATTTGCGGGGACGGGTGGTGTGGCCGCCTGCTGGTAGAGAGGTTGAGGAAGTGAAGCCTGCCGCATCGGATAGCCTCCGGTGGAGTGCGGGAACAAAGGCTGAGCGACTTGTAGGTTCTGGAAGGACTGCTCGAGTGATTGCACCGGAGCCTGTTGGGCCTGCAGCTGTGGCTGTATCGGTGCATCAAAAGGGTTGAAATTCGCATTTGGTTGGGGAGGAGGCCTGGCGTCCAATTGATCGAACGGATTGGCAGATTTGGAAGCATCCGGGGTGGGTTGAGCAGCTGGAGTCTTTGAGATCGACACCGATCCGTTGCCCTCTCCCAGCCTCACCAGTGTCTCGATGGTTTTGTCCAGGTTCCCGTGCAGCTCTCGGAGGGCGATTGCGTTCCGGCGCTCGTTCGTGAACCCCATATCCCTCAAGGCCGCCAACTTCGAGTCAAAGGACGCATCACCCGAAGCTTTCCTCACCGATGCTCCCGGTGAGCCCGATCCGAATGTATCCGACTGGGGAGAGGCTGCGGAGCCTCGATTGGACATCCGGTTGAGGTTGGTCGCGGATGAGGCGGATCGGAGCCCGAAGCCAAAAGGCCTCGCAGGCTTGGGAGGTAGGGGAGGAGGAGAGCCTTCCGGAGACCGGTCCTCCCTCAGAGACCTATCATAGCCTGAATCATGACGACTGGGTGGCTTTTGTTTCTCGTCCAGGGAGCGATGCTGGTATTTCTGCCGAATGAAACGTTCCATGCATGCATCGGACTCGTCGACGTCGGTCGGAACAGGTGGCTTGACGTTCCTGGGGTTGTAGATCTTGTTCATGATGTTGTTTCCGTGCGATTTCATATTCTAGACGATCCCACCAGTTAGCGACCTTCACCCGCATTGTATGCCGAGCCGACTCACATCGACCTGGTCGTCCGACCATGTGTCCATACTCAAGGACTTGACCTTGGAGATATGGGTGCCCAGCTTGCGATGCAGCGATGCGCATCGCATACAGATGAAGATTCCCAACTATATCCGATGCAATCAGTATACCACGTCCTTCCACGCAACAGTGCAAGTATGAATCGATTGGGAGACGTACGTTCCAACTAGCCCATCCTACAAGACACGCCATCCATTAGCATCTGGGATTGAAACGAAGAGCATCGGCGACGCTGCTCACCTGGATTCAAAGCTTGGCAATCGGCACAGCGATCATTGCCAGGAACCGACCGGATGAGGTCCTGCAGCGCCCGCTCATTGCGGAACTGCTGCCGTTTGCTGATGCCAGCGACCATGGTCGCGAGGCTCTAACAGGATGGTGGGGGGAATGTCTCGCGCAACGACGGAGGGGAATTCCGGACTCGCAGGACGCGAGGCAGGAGAGGGGGTTAGAAGTGGTGAGAGGCAGGGGGGGCGCGAATTGGAGAAAAAGTCTCAGCAGCAGCACGAGCCGAGCTTCCGGAACGAGATTCGAAAACACGTTCAGGCTGCGAAGGCGAGCATATTTACACACGGGGGGAAAAAACGTCCGTCAATAATGAGCCCGGGCAGGGGCTGGAGGGGCCGAGGAAGATAAGAGGCTAAGAGATTAAGAGTAGGGGAGCAGGCAAGCAAAAGGAGCGGCCACTGCCAGGGATGAGGAGAGGTGATGTGGGGAGCCACGATGGACGATGGACTCTCCGACTCAACCGCAGCTCAGGGATCTAGTATTAATGTTATTAATAGTCGCCCCGAACTTTCCCAAATCGGCCCACGTTTTCTGCGGTCCAGATTAATTCCTGCGTAAATTCATCCCAGTCGTGGATTTCCGAATAATTCTCCCGCGGAGCACCGAGAACAATGGGCTTATTCGAAAGCGAGGGTATCAGGGGCAGCCCCCAACCGGCCAGGATCGAGACCTCCGGCTCTCCAAGATGGTCTCGCCAGTCGCCATACTCCGTACAGAAAGCACCATAAATCCCCCAAGACTTTCTGCAGGAAGCCGAGGACGCGTCATGATTCAACGGCCCGATCAACCAGGACCCTGGCTGTCAATGCGGACTGGCACGAGGCAACCATCCGCCACACTACGATGATCGATTCTACACTAGAATATCCCTTGGGAATGGAATGTATGAGCAGCAGGTGACTCCATCCACCATCGCACTTGAAGCTCCCGGAGGAACCCAGTGCGGTAGAGGAGCCTTAAAAAATTGCCCGACCAAACTTCTTCTAGTACGCCAATATGACCTGCCATCCTATGGTCACTTAAGAAGGAATTGGAGGTTGATTATGCGTTCGTGAGGTTTATGAAAAGTGTGAAGAAGAAAAAGAAAACGGGACAAGTGGGCGCGCTCAGAAACGAGTTTTATGGGCGCCGCGATAGTGGGCCACGTGACTCGAGAAGTGGTGCGCTGCGGCCTCAGGTGTCTGTAGGGGTGGCCCTGCCACCGGCATTTTCATGAGTGGACCGCCACACTATGCAGCATGGATAATGGTTGTACACTGCTTTGTAGTATCTAGATCATGTCTATATTAAATCTAATGGTAGCAGCACTGAGGAGTCCCATGGCTGGATCCATGCAACCTGCCCGCTCAATGACACTTTCTGTACAAGCTCAGGCTGACGCGTCCCATGGCCAAGCTACGCCGCCAGTTGCCATCGCGTCAATTCACCCTCGATGGTTCTCCAGGAATTGGATTAGTATTAGAGCGGTGTCAATCCCCATAGCCCGGCCAATGACGTTGAAGCATCTCATGGCCCAGTCATGGATCGGACTGGAGACTCCACCAACAAGCGCGGCCACAAAGAGCGGCAGAAGTAAAGTGAACCCTGTACCGGTCATGGTTGTCACAGAGTCAAAAACGCTCTTACCGTCGCGGCCAGCCACTCCGAACTTGAATGGGACGGAGCAGCAGATGTCGACTGCCAGCTGCCTCATCAGGCCGCGGATCCGCACACATCGGTTCATGAAACTGTCGTGTTCCATGCCCGGTTGGGACTTCTGCGCGTTGGACGCATGTGTAAGGATCACGTCATTGACAAGGATTCGCATATAGCGATAGTTATTCCAGATATTGCAAGCCCAGGTGGACTGGTAAATGTGGTAGGATCCTTGATAGTGAGAAAAGTTATCTCCGTCTTTCTCACGAGATACCACATCGCCGTGCCAAGCGCTTGTCGCATAGGAAAGCTCCGCAGAGACGGTGCTAGCAAATAGTTCGAGCTCCGAATCTATCGCCATGGCAATCGATACGATTTCGGTGCTATCCGAGATGATCCCCTCTCTGATATCAGCCTGCAGCTCCGAGAACTTAGCCACGACCTTCACGAGCCGATCCCCATCAGTTGGAAAAGGGTGCCTCTGGAAATTAACAGCCATTTGATCAGGCAATTCGACGAGGACAGAAGGAAGTCTTGTCTTCTTTTGTAGGCAACCGATGAGCTGCAGAGCCATTAGCCAGGGCTGGAGCTGATAGATAGGGGGTTGCCTACCACCTCGTTTCTGAGAGCTTGGAACATCCAGAACCCGCTTTCGCGCTGAAGCTGTTTGCTGCCGCGGAGTTCAAGGATTGTTGCAACCCCCTGTGAGTGTTCGATCCATGATTCCAGGCTTTCCTGTCTCTCGCAGGCGACAATCTTGTGATCTTAGTGAGCATAAATCACCATTTGGCCAGCCCAGACGTGGACTCACCTCAAATAACGACAAACAAACGATAGCGGTGAGAGTTGTGTCTGCTATAGCCAAGGCGGGATCGCATAAGGCTGCGTTTGTCAGCTGCAGAGCTGTGGCGTACTCACAACGGGCAGACAGTCGCAACGACGGTGACCTACGCAGGCTCGCAAGATTTGCCAAGCCCACCGATGCGATACCAGCCATCATGGCTTTCTCGTCAAGGGTCTCAGCAGGTCCCGATCCAAGAGAGCCTTGCACCACACTGGCAGCATTGAACCAGGTATAGGTGTTGAGAAAGAAGCACGTGGCTTGGAAGGTATGGTCCAATGCAAAATTAACGAACGGGATCGGGGACTGCAGAGTGCGGTGCCCCGAGCAAGCCTCAGAGGCAACCTTCGGTCTGGCCACTGTCAAAACCGGAGGCTCTGCTAGTGGCGGGCTTGCGTCTAAGCTGGCAGATCCTTGGAGTCTTCGGGCTACTGACTCGCTTTCATCGCGAAACCATAGCGAGAGCGGGTCTCGATACCCGGAACACGTCCGCTTGGCCTTTCTGCAACGGCCGCAGACAGGTCTGGCTTGATCACACTAGCTCCGGTAACAGAGTTAGAGGTTTCGGTGTTTTCGATGTAATCAGGAGGCTGATCCCAAGCAAAGCCAGGCCACTTACCTTGACTTTTCTCGCACGACAAGTACCACACCCTTCGCTAGGCTTGCCCATCGCGAATGATGACTGGGCCGCACATGGACTCGGGGGTGGTGTCACAGGCGACGCCTGATAAACTAGCAACCTAGCAGGGTATAGCAAGGCTCACATATTATCCCTCCCGAAGACAAAACGACGGGCGAGATATGAGGTTCGTATTGAAGCAGCCACGAGCGGAACCGGGTCCAGTGGGGTCCCCCATTGGCTTCCAAGCCTCCATCACTCTAGCCGCTTTAGGAATGCAGGGCGAGCAATCCGTGGCCCTGATTGGCTCTCTGCCTGTCTTGCACGATATCCCCGATGAAAGATCATCAACCCTTCTCCATATTGGCAGTTGCTTGGGCAGAATCAGATGGCTAAGCATGGCCGTAAGCCCAAAATTGCTTGTGTCATTACCAGGCAGCACAGCCCTGTGGGATAAATTACTGAAGAAATGGGTGGATATGTTAGCAGGCGCAGTCGAGAGAGGGAGGGTACCTGGCTGTTGGTCGTTAAATAGCCGACCTTTTCCCTCGTAGAAAATGAGATGAACCAGATCTGCTCTATATCCATCACACTGATTGCCTTGTCGGTTTCATAGACAATATCTTCGTCTCTTCCATCTCTCTGCTGCGGCTATGGCAGTCAACTACCGACATGGTCTCTCCATCCTGGAACTGATCGTATACGTTCCTACCCTGTTCATATCGTTGTGGATGGGCTTTCGCCACGGCTTCAAGAGGAGCTCTGGCTGGGTTCTCCTGGTGATCTTCTCCTTGGCCCGTATCATTGGCTCATGCTGCTACTTGGCTACGATCAGCCATCCTGCCACGATAGATCTTTACATCGCGTGGGGTGTCTGCACTTCCATCGGACTGGCTCCTTTGATATCCACCTGCATTGCACTCTTATCCCGAGCGTACGTACCGTCTTTTCCCTAACGGAATCACCAGCCACTGACTAGACCCTCGTATTGCAGTAACGACTCCATCGAACGCAAAACCGGACGAGGCATCCATCCACTCATCTTCAGGCTTCTCAGTCTCATCACCCTTGCGGGCATGGTCCTGTGTATCGTTGGTTCAACCCAGAGCACCAACCTCACCGACATCGTGAACAGCAGCGAGGCCAAAATTGGCGACGTTCTGTACCTCGTTGCCTGGGTGGGTCTTTGTGCTATGCTTCTCCTCATTGGCAGCAAGTACCAGAGCATCGAGGACGGGGAACACCGCTTGCTTTTGGCCGTTGGGATCTCAGTTCCCCTGCTTCTCATCCGCCTCATCTACTCTCTCCTGTCGGTCTTCACGCATAGATCCACCTTCAGTATGTTCACGGGAAATGTCACTGTCATGCTGGTTATGACGGTTCTGGAAGAAATTGTGATCGTTGTTGTCTGCCTGGGAGTCGGTGTGACTTTGGCTCAACTTCAACGTCCGGCAGACTATGAAGCCTGTGATATGCCGGCCCAGACGGGCTCTGCGCTTGAGTCTCAGCAGAGCCCTGAGCAAACATATGCCGCCAAAAGACAGACACCCCGGCGCAAGAGGAGACGAGGCGGTCCTGTTTCTCAGCTCGTCGGGCTGGCAGTTGATAAAGTCAATCAGAGGGAGTGAAGGGCTTCTTCTTTGTATTGAGTTTGCAACTGCAGCTATACATATCAATGTCCATGTTTAGAATTGTATGGGCTCTATAAATATGAAATGTTAATGAGTGCTGTTATGATTTATGAGATGGGCCAAGTACCTTAGCATGTCAATCCAGTAAACAAGTGATAGCGACGAATACTTTTGGATCCATGTTTATGTTGTGGAGGGGCTCCAGAGGTTCATGTCGTACAAGCCATCTCTTTTCAGCTTCCCCGAGGTTCCTGTGGGGTTAGCACACGAGCGAGACACACGGAGTGATAGATGAATGTTGTTGTAATGTCAAAGGGATTGCCAGGTTCATAGTACAGCGGACAAACATGCCATACTCGCTTAGGCTAGCGCATACTCAGTCACATGACTAGAGCTTAAGCGAGCCACCATTATCACGTGGTCTTTATATTTTCCTCACAATTTCTCGCTGCCGCGATTCTTTTTCTTCCTGTTACTCAACCTACCTTCAGCCCTCACCATGGGTTTGGAATCTTTATGGATGATTCCCTTGCCCTGGTTTGGATCTGTTCATCTCGTAGATGATCTGCAGAATGCTTGCAGTCAGTAACACGGCATCCACACAGTGCGCTTCTAGTCGTTTCAATGGCATAGAGGCATGCTTTTTTTTAACGTTCGTTCGTGGAAGATCAAAACCAAACAGTTTTTAGCAGGACTGCGTCTACTCCACCCTGGTGTTCGCTATATCGGACGGCAGGACTATTTTTACGACGGACATCTTAAGTTTATCTGTAGCTTGTGCATTCTCAATATCGATGGAATGGTGTGCTTTGTGTCTTGCGGGAAGCATTCCGTCGGAGCTGAGATGGACATGGTCGGGTGCTGGAGAGTACCTTGCGTACCCGTACGAGCCAGCTCATGCCCCTTGCGTCTGGTTGCTCTGTAACAGCAGACAGATCACCCATATCTGGGGTTAACCGTTGCTGCAGCTTAACTCTGAGATCAGTCATAAAGGTCGGAGAGCCGAAACGAGTCCCGAGAGCCAACCCAGTGTTTTGATCGGTCGCAAAAGTTGGCTGCAACAAGGGCCCATCGGTACCAAGAATCGCGCAATTGATAAGCCTGGGAACTAGTTACTGAACCCGTTGCCTAAAAATTTGAACCCTTTATGGGCTTCTAGAATGGTTCTGATTGCAATTATCAGAGCAGCCAGACTCACCCGATGAATAATGGCCGGATTCTGGACGGCTAAGGGTTTAGTAATGGGAGGGCGGGCCCGGAATTTACCGCGGCTCAGGAGCCGTGAGTGGCAGTAAAAGGCAGCGAGCCGGCGCTCTCTGCCAAAGAGAATGTTCCTGTTAATAATCTGACGACGGACCCGCCCGCGGACCCATTATTGAATGGCTGCTAGGCACATCGGCTAGGATGGCGGCGGGCGTTGCATGGAGATGGTTGCCCCTCCTGCCCTCGAACAAACAAACACCGCAGACGAACACAATGGCTCAGTGCAGCAAAGTCTTTGGCTGTTGTGTGGATGGGAGTCAAAGATCCGTAGACTTGGGGGATGGCGCAGGAGCCATGGATCGGAGCGTGAGATTGCCACGGGCAAGCCGATGGCCGGGCATCGATCACTCCTCACAGGCTTACAGCCCAGGGCCCGCGGACAACAGAGCGAAACGGCAGGAAATGCGGAGAGAGTCTTTGCTGAGTAAAAAGATTCGGGCTAGAGCTCACCAATCTGAGCGATGCCATTGGTGCACCGTGGTTTGGATCGTTGTCCTGGAGGAGTTTCCCGAAGAGCTGAGGTGATTCGTAGGCTATTAGTATCCCTGTCTTCGTCTCCTCTTCTCCTTAGTTCTACCTGGCTTGTCCTTCCTTTGCTCTCCTCTTCTCTCCTCCTTCTCCGTCTGACACCCGAGGTAATCCATCTGTCCTGGACCTCGTCCCCTTTCCAATCGACCCCTGAACATCTACCTTTTCTCTATTCCGTACATTCTCTTTCACAATGGCAGCTGCTAGAACGGTTTCCCGGGCCTTCCTGCGCTCGACCCCCGCAACCTCCTCCATCAGACCTGCTGCTCGCAGTGCTCGGTTTGCCCTTCCCTCTCAGGGCTTCCGTGCCTCTCGTCGTGGCTATGCGTCCGAGGCCGGTGAAGCCAAGTCCTCCAACACCCTCCTGTGGGCTGGTCTTGCTGCCGCTGGTGGTGCCGGCGCCTACTTCTACCTGAAGGGCGGCGATGCCTCCGTTAGCTCCAAGGAATTCGTCCCCGGCAAGGAGGACTACCAGAAGGTGTACGACGCGATTGCTCACCGTCTTGCCAACGAGACCGATTACGACGATGGCAGCTATGGACCCGTAAGTCCTCTTCTTTGATGTCTTGTCACAATGTCTTGTGGAGGCTGACAATTGGTGGATAGGTCCTTGTTCGTCTGGCATGGCACGCAAGCGGTACATATGACAAGGAGACTGGCACAGGTGGAAGCAACGGTGCCACCATGAGATTCGCTCCCGAGTCCGACCACGGAGCCAACGCTGGTCTTAAGCATGCCAGAGACTTCTTGGAGCCCGTTAAGGCCCAGTTCCCCTGGATCACCTACTCTGATCTCTGGACTCTGGCTGGTGCCTGTGCCATCCAGGAGCTGGGCGGCCCCGCCATCCCCTGGAGACCCGGTCGTCAGGATAAGGATGTGGCTGCCTGCACCCCTGACGGACGTCTTCCCGACGCCTCCAAGGACCACTCGCACATCCGTGACATCTTCTACCGCATGGGATTCAACGACCAGGAGATTGTTGCTCTGGTTGGAGCGCACTCCATTGGCCGCGCCCACACTGACCGCTCCGGCTTCGATGGTCCCTGGGACTTCAGCCCTACTGTCTTCACCAACGAGTTCTTCCGTCTGTTGGTGGAGGAGAAGTGGCAGCAGCGCAAGTGGAACGGCCCTAAGCAGTTCACTGACAAGTCCACCGGCACTCTGATGATGCTGCCCGCGGATCTTGCCCTGACCAAGGACAAGGCCTTCCGCAAGCACGTTGAGCTGTATGCCAAGGACAGCGACGCCTTCTTCAAGGACTTCTCGGAGGTGTTTGTCAAGCTTCTGGAGCTTGGTGTGCCCTTCACCACCAAGGCTGAGGACCGTTATGTCTTCAAGCCCTCCGAGTAAGTCTCGGGTCTTTGTGAAGATTTGTGATTCGGTTTAGTTTGGGATTTAGCTGCGGAGCATTGTTTTATTTCATATTTTGATATCCGACATGTTCGATGATCATAGCCATGCGTCTATTGAGACAGGCTGTCTTGCCGGGGCATAGACCATACAGGCGAGCCGGGGTACTAGAAGGTATTAGATCAATACAAGAGTCCACCGGAATTCCAGTGAGCGTAGAACAAGATGCCTCATATTTGAGTCAGCCAACTTTCGGTCTTACATTCGCGTATGCCAATTGCATTTTGTATGCAGTCGGAAAAAGAGCCGACACTGCGTAGCACATGGCCGTTGCTGTCCTCCCGAGTTGTCGATCCGCGGCCACAAGTGTGGCGGCGGCTGAAGGTCTCGTGCGGGAGCCGACGAGAAGTCTTCATTCTGGCACACCCACCACCACATCTCAAGCGACAAGTGAAGACCACAGGGAGCAATCTGCCTAAAATACCCTCGCGAACTGAATACCACCACCACACTCCAGAATTAACCTAAATAGAACGAGCCCATTCAACCTCAACCCCTCCGCCGCAGAGGCGCAAAACCCGCACCATGACCAGATCCAACCCAACCACAAACGACTACTACGAAATCCTCAGTCTCCCATTCACAGAAACCTCCACGACCCTCTCGAAACAACAACTGAAGACCGCCTACCACAAAGCCCTCCTAAAACACCACCCAGACAAAGCCACCCCCGATACCCAGCCCACCACCCCCCTTCCCACAACCGACCTCAATACTCGAAGCTACACGATCGACGAAATCACCACCGCATACAAAACCCTTTCCGATCCCTATCTACGTGCAGAATATGATCGATCGCTTCGCCTAGATCGCGCGCGGGTCGCGGAGCGGGAGAAAACAGGGACGGTGTTTCATACGGGGTTGGAGGTGGTGGATTTGGAGGATCTCGCGATTGAGGAGGGCGATGAAGGCACGGTTTGGTATAGGGGTTGTCGGTGTGGTGATGAGAGGGGGTTTTTGGTCACGGAAGGGGATCTGGAGAGGGAGGTCGAGCATGGGGAGATTGTAGTTGGGTGTCGGGGGTGTAGTTTGTGGATGAAGGTTTTGTTTGCGGTGGAGGATGGGGAGGAGGATACCTGAGGGCTGTGTCAGACTTTGTCTGTCTTTATCGGCCCTTGTCGATGATATCCCTTTGGATGCGTCTTGGTCGCCGCATCGCGACTCGCTAGACTGAGTGCTGTGCTGTACTGGCACGGTTGATGGCGTTGCAAAGCGCACCGTGCCTGTGTTGCAGAAGACGATCGAGGAACAGTCCGTGGAGGAGCGCAGTTCGATGCCACGGCTGAGTGGCACTTCCACCAGGCATCATCCTTCCAGGAGAGGTTGAAGATCCTGACTACGGCATCAGGAGTGCATGACATGCTACATGTGCGTGCAAAGCTTGATCTCGACCAAGCTTGATTATCGGCATGTTACAGCTGCAATAGAGCATGCATCAAAGCTTTTAAAATTGCTCGCGTCGAGCTTCTATCTATTGAGATCAGAACCGCAGAATGAAATGACCAGATATACGAATTACCATCGTACTACTGAAAAATCCCTTCGTGGAAATTGTCGTCCGCCTTTTGGCAGTTTGATGCTCAGCCTAGGGACTCAACGAAAGCTTGATGACATTCAAAGCGATAATCCAGTGATACCAAACACCAGCGAAACACCAGCTCAAATCCTTTACACAGGCGTAGGCGCTCTTTAAATACCGTGATTTACGTCGGATACCTCCTTCATGCAAAGCTAAGATCCTACGATCGTAGACATCTTCCGCAGGTCATCACCTCAGTACCAGTAGTTAGTGGGCGCTGCGGCCGGGTTGATGACATATCCATAATATATCTCGCGGCGACCAGTCAACAACAACCCACGCCGACTTCCTTCCACCTCCTTCCACCCCTCTCAGCGCGACAAGACCATCACAATGGCATCTCTCGTCCAAATCACCTCCCTGGAGCAATTCAGCACACTTTTGAACAGCTCTACCTTTGTCGTGGCTGACTGTGAGCTCCCCAGCTTGAAACCCCGCTTCCCCTCCCATCCATCCCACCTTCAACCACGCAACGTCACCCCATCCAACCATCCCAAACTCAATACTGTTGTACAAGACCGAACCAACTAACGCATGTGAAATGTATAGTCTACGCGGATTGGTGCGGACCATGCAAAGCTATCGCCCCTGCGTACGAGCAGTTGGCCTCGCAGCTCTCACGTCCTAACCGGATCACCTTTACCAAGATCAACGTTGATCACAACCAGGATATTTCCAGACAGTATGGGATTACAGCGTATGTCCTCCCTACCCTATTCCCGTGTGGTCCCAAAGGGTATGCACTACAGCAAGCAACAGCTACTAAAAACGTCTACACAGAATGCCCACCTTCGTCCTCTTCGAACGCGGCCGTCGCACCTCCACCGTCCGCGGCGCCAACCCCAAAGAACTGAACGAACTCGTCCGCAAACTCGCCACGGAAGCCAAGAAAGCGCCCGAGTCCGGCGGCAGCGAGGGCGGCGAGTCCAGCGGCGTGGGATGGATCGGGGCCCCCGCGCCCAAAGGCTACAGCGACATCACGGACCAGCATGACCCGAAGGGGTTGGAATTGCTGAACCGGGATAGCGAGTTTGGGACGGCCAAGACGCTGTTCGATAGTTCGAAGCCGGCGTCGCTGAACAATAATGGGAAGGGGAAGGCTGGCGGGGCTCCGGATTGGGTGGAGAGTGATACGGATGAGCAGTTGATGTTGTTCATCCCGTTTCAGTCTACGTTGAAGGTGCATTCGTTGCAGATTACGTCGTTGCCGCCGGCGGAGGCGGAGGATGAGGATGAGGATGAGGTGCCGATGCGGCCGCGGACGGTGCAGTTGTATACGAATCGGTCGCATGTGTTGGGATTTGATGAGGCGGATGATATTCCGGCGGTGCAGACGGTGGAGATCCGGCCGGAGGATTGGGATCCTAAGACGGGTACGGCGAAGATTGACTTGCGGTTTGTCAAGTTCCAGAGCGTGATGTCGCTGGTGGTGTTCTTTGTGGATGGCGATGGGGATGGAGAGAAGTTGCGGGTGGACCGTGTGAGGATCTTTGGCGAGGCGGGTGAGAAGAGAGAGATGGGCAAGTTGGAGAAAATTGGTGATGAGCCTGGAGAGTAAGCGTACTCACTACTCAGTATACTCAGACAGATACCAGCCGATACAGCAGAGTATACTCAGCGGCAGATGCAGCCAATGCACGATACCTTAAGGTAGACTACGCAGCACTTTACGGAGATACAAACATAGAAATCTGTTTGACAAACACATAATATTCATATTGATATCAAAAACTAAACTAAATCTACAATCCTCCCAAAGAGAGGGTTCTATCATCCACACCGCACATAAACAGCACAGATAGATAGACAATCATACAGGACCTTCCCATGACAAAAAGATCCCACACGACACAAAACCACCCCCCCATACACATACATATACGGGGAGGTATATAATGAAATGTCCGATCCCAAACCAAATGGTCTAATCCCCGTAGAAGCAATAAAACACAGAAAGACCAATAAAGTAAGAACCGGTGTGCAATTCCGTTTCGTCTGTGACGCAACTGACACCTGGGGATAACATCACGGGAGTAAAAAACTGATGTCCAGGCAACACGGGTGAATATAGTTGCGTCGCCGCACGAAGAAAGAAAAGAAAAAAAAGTGCTAAATGGGTGCTGGGGAAGGGGGGGTTTTATGGGTGGGAGTGGGGAATTGTTTCTCCGGGGGGTTTTAGCGAGGATTTTTGGGAGAGGTTTGAGGGGGGAGGGTTGGGATGACATAAGCGGGGTGGTTAAGCGAGGGGAGGGAAAACTCTGAGGGTGGTTTTTGATTTCTTTCTCTTCTCTTCATTATTATTATGGCTGATGATGAGACAATTGGATGTTTACATATGATAGGAAGAGACTGACTCCCCTTGATCAGGGAGATTGATCTTAACTACCATCCACTGAGGCCATACATTATTTCTATTATTATTCTGCTTATTACTGTGTACACTCCGTATTTAGTTCTGGTCAGATAGATAGCATGGAGTATTGTGTTTATGGCAGTCGGCTGAGGTTGCGTGGCGCTTTCTGAATGGTACTTTTCTTCCGCGGTTATCTTTCGCCGGCTATTTGCCTACGGATGACAGGGATGTTCATCCGTTGCGCCCCGGCCCCAGGTTTGCTATTATTATCGGCCACCATGATGCATCCCAGCACCAATAGCATCTACAGATAACACCATACATCGGCCATACTAAGATACGGTATGTCGCTTGCTTGGGGCAGTGGCTTGGGCAAGCACCGTCGTAAGCCGTAGTGCAGTGGCCCATGGCTGTGTCTGCAGCAGCCCGCTCGGTGGTTCTATCAGCATCCCTGCCGATCTGATGCAGCATCTGTTTGAGCCACTTTTTAGCCCAAGGTCAGCCTGCGCGACCCATGGTTCCATCCCATCGCACGTTCTGCACACTGCACCGGACTCAGCGCCCACGTCAGGACCTTGGGGGCTGATACCGGGCAAAATCTGGTTCAGCTGCCTTGGTCAACGCCCGCCCAGTGTCTCACGGACCGTGCTGGAAAACACCGTGAGCATTGTTCTTTTCGGGATGCTCAGTGCTTCCGCGATCCGCTTGGTCTGACCGAGATTCCACCGCGACCCAAGGAACCGTATGTCTACCTTATCTGAGACGAATTCAGTCACGTAACCATTGCCGTCGTGATTGCTGGACGCTGATAATGGCCATGCCGCCCGCTCCCCACTCGCAGGGTGCAATGTGCAGAGGGCAATCCAAGACCTCCGGGCCCTGGCCCTGGGGCGTCGATCATGTTTGCGACTTGCGACTCACGAGGCCGGTCGAGGCAACAGATCGGTTGGCCCCGGTGAGTCGCATCCTTCTGGATGCGCAGTATCCCGTGCATAGTCACACTTGCCGGCCCATGACGACCAAGTGGCTATTGGGTCGCCGCCGAAAGTCTCAGCGTGAGACAGCGCCTCGCGACTGGCAGAGCTTGGTTGCATGTGGAGTAGCGCGCCAGAAAGGCAAATCCTCCAGAGATAAAGTTCAACCCAAGGCACCTTGGCCTCACACTATTTCGCAGGTTTGCCCGCGACCCAGATTTTGGTTTCCATATCCATATCTGCATGACTCTGTTATCATTCCAAATGCTTAGCGATGTCGGCATGACTTCCGATTACCTGCTTTTCGTGGTTCGGCACCTCCAATTATCTCCAAGTACTCCATACGCCGTAGGCAATTCCGGACACCTCTGCGAGTCCGGCTCCATCCAGCGTCTCAGGAAGATGTTGCCATCTTGGTTTTAGCTGTGCAGCGGATGCTGTTATTTTTATGTTTTGCTCTCTGCTCCACTCGGGCTCGATAGTCCGTCTGTCCGCTGTCGGAATAATCCGCATGCTAGGTAGTCAGTACTATGTAGTTGGGTGGGTGATTCCAACCTGGCGCAGAACTCGGAAGAAACTATCGCTTCTCCGCATTTCCTTCGATCGCCAGGTTGGCGCCTTGGAAGCGGCGGATATCTCTAGGGCAGTAACTGGAGTAGGTTCCTTCACGTTGGAAAGTTTAGGCTGTCCCGTTGGAAGGGTTCGCACCATTCTTCCGTCTCCAAATTTCGCCAAAAGAGTTTGCCGAAAAAGATCCTCTCGGGCGAATGGTGAGCTTTTGCGTGATTTCCGCATGGCAATTCCCCGGTGACGCCATTCCCACGGAAAAGCAGATAATGGGAGAGGGTACGGAGAATCTGGGTCCTCAACCAAGATCCCGACTGGATCTCGTGCGTCGCAAATCCCCAGTCACGACACGACCTCAACCGCGGGCCGGAAGATATCTATATACCGGACTAGGCTAGGCTCGGGACGAACAGCCAATATCCTGGTCCGTCTGGAGCGCCGGTCTCCAACAACACGATCGGGCGAGTAAACAGATACGGCATGATAACATGATTTTCATCCTCATCGGTGGTGCGATATCCCCGCTGGCATCCAATGGATCCCTCCCGGGTCCTCCACGACGCGCGCCGCCAGTCACACCCGAGCAGCGTCATTTCGAGCAACGTGCACGTGCAAGCCCGGTGGCTTATCAGGTCGGGCCTAGGTTTTCAGCTGCTGCTGCGATCGGCCGGTTTGGCCCATGATCTTCCCTGCACAAATCCAGGAACAGAACTCAAAAGAGCACGCCACATGTTGTCCCGCCTGTCCGTTGGCTCGCCGGCCTTCCTCTCGTACCCTGGTGGCCGCCAAGTGCTGGAGCGCGGTCAACATGCGGTTGTGATTGGAACCAACACGAGGTGACGAAGAGCTCTTCCCCCAATCGGCGGGGACACAGGTGAAAGTCTCTGCGGATTGGCACGTTTAAGCTCAGTTAGCCGCCTGTAGTCTCGGGTTAATATCCGGATCCCTGGTCCATAGTCCATGGACGGTAAACAAAGGGGAAAAAAAAAATGCGGGATGCTAGCTGCCCATCACTATCACGTTGGATGTATCGAAAGTCAAAAGCCTTGCTGGACGGCTAGTCAGTCCATGGTGGACACGCGGTGCTGAAGGTCCCCGCAAAAGCGCGGTAGCTGCATGCCGGCAATCGGAGCCAGTCCCGGTCCATCGTCCAGGGAGGATGGATGCTTGGCGGCTACGACTAACTGTTCCCATTACCCAACTGGTCGGGAAGAATTTCGCGCATTATGGAGACCGCTTGGATACCGCTGTTTGGGGTGTATCTAGGCGAGGAGAGCGACCATGGTCTACTGCGGATAGGTGGAAGAGGTGACATGGCATGGCATGGTTGCTTGTCTTGTCCGACCAAGACCGAGGGGTGGATTCCTCTTCCGTGCGACCCAGGGTCTGGAATAGATGCATTCGGAGGATAAATTTGTGCTGGGAACAATAATAATAATAATCACCCTTATGAATGGCTCGGAAATCTGCCGGCAACGCCATCCTTTCAGGAGGGTCCTGGGTCCTTAAGGTTCCATCCTTCATTATTCGGCCACAGTGGCAGTGGCACGTTGGAGCCTGTACGTGGCGGTTCCCCTTGCTGCAATCAAGCTCACCCCGTATCGAGGAGTCGAAGGTTCGAAGAAGGCTCTAAAACGCTTCGGTTGCATTAGGTAAAGAGACTATGTTCGACGTTAATTGATTGCGATGGAGCAGTGTTCTATTCTTATGACGTAGCGAACTCACAGCATTATCCCGTTTAGTCAGGGGCGAGATGATTGGCTTTGAGAGGCGAATCCCTAATTGCCATTAGGAGAGGTTATCGCCATCGTCCGGAGTATATACTCCATACTATTGACTAGTTCAGTGGTAGTCAACCGTCGGATGACGGATGGGGGCCCCTTTTCCGGAGTCGCGAGAGTGCTAAGTCAGAATGCTCGGGACCTGACTAAGACGAAGCCGAGACACGCCCAGCCATGACGGGCACTGATTGGCTGAACCAGAAACGCGTAGTCTGTTTCAGATTTCGAGGACCGAGGTAACCTTCGGGCAGTGGACAGTTGGAGGGGGGACAGGTGGGTGGTGGGCTGGTGGGCAGGTGGACAGCCGGTGCCCTAACGGATGGTGTACCCTAACCCATCCGAACTAGTCCTAGTCTCCTCCGTAGATGTACTACTCCATACCAGGAGACGGAGTCGGAACGGAATGCAAATGGATGATCGACTACTTCTCCCACTTTGCGATTCACAGGCGACCCGGTTGATAGTCAGTCCACCATCCAGTCCTGACTAAGGTGCTGGAAATTGACGCCGAGAGTAATTTCCAGTCCTGCTCCCACTCGACTATGGATGGCTCTAAACCCTCATCCACACTAGGCGCGGCACTATTGGTTCGCCTGAACTTTATCGTATCAAGTCAACCAAGTCCAGCATGATCTCGAGCGAGCTTAAACGCCAACGCCCATATTTGGGCGTCGCCTTCCAATGCAGCCAATGTGCTGTGTACCGACGGGATCAACCGTCAATCATCCCCAAGGCATCGGACGACCACTCACACTATCAGACGATCATGATACCATATATATAATCACCTTCCTGCTTGAGCATCATTCTCCATGTCGCATGATGCGCTGCAGCTAAGTCGAACCTGTCCGCCGTATCGTCGGTACGCACTAGGTAACATTCCTTGGGGATCCGCAATCGTAAAGGCAGGCAACATCATAAGGTGTTGACCTGGGTAGTCGGTACCGATAAGGACCACCCTCTCTCTAGATCTGTGCCACCGTAAAAATCCATCACCTTGGTACATGGTACATTACTTGGGTGTCCGACAACCGTTGCTTCCGGTATCCGCGGAACCTATTGGAAGGCGAGGGCAGATGCAGTGGCCTATCTGACCCATCTTGATTCGCCTTTTGGTCTCCCAAATTCGGAATCAAGCGGCATGAACTGGGACTCAATCTGTCAGGCTTCGCTTCCCCGTCTGGACTCTGGCACTGGATACGCGCAGGACATCCCACACCGCACCGTGCTTTGTCCAGCGCAACAATCGGCGCCCCTGATTCGTCAAGAAAGCCACGCATCTGAGACCATTGGCCAGAATGATACTCTCGCACGGTCGCCTGCGAGCACAAATTTTCTGGCGAGTACCTGCGTGGCCACTGGCACCGCGGGCGCGCGGGCGACGGAACTAAGTCCCCTACCGCCCGTCTGTCAGCGCGGATGCGCGCCCATCCCCATTTCCATACCCACCACCGACGTCGCAACAGGCAAGATGCGCTGCGTCCGGTGGCGCTGCCCTTCACCTCTCAATTAAAGCGTCGGCGACAGACCGAAAGACGCTATCAGAACGCGAGACAGCGCTTGGGTCTATCTGCCGTTTAGCTCGCCGTTCAGACTCGCAGTAATTCCTTGGTGGAGACCGGGCTGTCAGCACTCAACCGGGCCTATCCCCGGTGTCCAGAGTAAGGTAAACACTAAACCTTCGCGCGCGATAGATAGATAGAAGTTACATAGTATGCATGATGATGGCCGATGATGAAGACGATACGCCATTCCTTTCCTAGAACGGACCGCCCTGCCAGTGCGACTTCAGCTAATCGACTTTCGATTTGTCAATCCGGCGTGATGACGCTAGATTTTCATTTATCGCTTCTGTTAGCTTATGCAGGTCTTATCCTATCGTTGCTGGTGCGCGATCAGAATCCTAGTCCCTCTAGGCGACCAGATGGACCCGCCTCGGCTTTTCCTTTGTTGTGGTTGTTGTTGCAACGGTTCTTTGTTTTTCGGCGACGGTTACGGAGTGCTACTACTTTCCCTACTAGTAGTACCTCGATACTTCCTGGCGACCCCGGAGCCTAAAGGAAGCAGGAACAAATCCCTGTCCGCCGCGGCGGGCTGCTTACCCCGTCCGGACCAGGCGACTCCCGGCATTGTCGACGGACTCCGTACGTACGGCGCTGCTCCCTAGACCAAACTGAGGGAATAATCTCCCCTCCTTCGGTGTCTGCTAGTGAGATAGGAGGAGGGAATGAAATGGAGTCGTCCCTCTGCCCAGTTCCTCCTCCAATGGAGCTCAGTGGAGGTCCCTAGTCCTCAACTAGGCAATAGCTGGACGTTGACCTGGTGCTTGGGGAGTTTCTCGAAGGTCGCCGGCTTCCATGCATAGATTAAACCAGTCGAAAACTAGCCGCAAATGGTAAGTCGGCAGCTTGCATGGGCCCTGCCTCGTATTGCGAATCGTTAACGCCGGCGTGGCAAGCATTATAGCACCCTTCTAAAGCTCCAAATATTGTTCTAGTCTGGCGACTACGTACCACCGCGACGTTCTAGCACGGGACTACCGGAAACTAGGTGCTCCCAGGGCAAGGTGCTCTTATCGTTCCTGGATCCTAACCCCGACCACTTCGACAAGATGCCTACGGTATACACTATACAGTGGTATACTGATTACTGGCAATTTACCTCGCTCGGGGCCCGTCCCGACACCCGGAAGCTTCACCCACAAGCGGTAAGGTGGCTGGCCAGGAATTAGGAATGGTCCGTTCTATCTTTAGATCCACCCCCGGCGGTCCTTACTGCCCGATACCGTATGTATGATCTCCGTATCATTCTTCCTATGTCGTACTCACTCATTATTATTACGGGGTACGAGGCCGGACTGCATCTCTAACGAGGATGAGTCTGACGAGTCAGGTGCTGGAGCAGGGGACTCGGCAGGAACGTTTCAGACCGGTTGACCAGTTGCGTGGCGTTGGCCAGGGTTTGATGGGCCATTGTGTGTAGTAGTATTGCGATGCTCATGGCCGCGGCTGGAAAGGGCAATGGATGGACCAGGGGTCCGTGTTCGGAGTCTGACAGCTCTGCTTGTGTCCCCTTGCTTCCCATGATTGCCGTGGCGCGGCCTGTCAGGCAGTGTTTGACTTATCGGCAGGCTCATCGCGGTCCCTGGACAATCTTCAGATGTCGTCATGTTGATCCCTCTGCGTTGGTTGTTTGTTGAGGTAGGCAGAGAGGTGGGATGGATGCAGAGGCGCAGCTAATTTTACCTACATACCGCCCATCGAATAAACACGTCCTCGGGAGATTTACGCGGCGGACAACGCATCGTACCTGACCCAAACTATCGAACGCGATGATTGCAGGCTTGCAGAAAATAGCAATCAAAGCTCTTTATTGACACCGAGCCCTATCATAGGCAGTCATATTTCTCCCCCCGGCGACCCGGAAAAAATTAATCATAATTATCATAATAAGGAAAAGAAATACCAGACCCAAAACATAACCAATCCAATCAAAGTGAAAGCAAATCAGATTTCGAGGGTCAAGTTTTTGACAGCGGCGTTCATCTGGAAGCCCTGTTGTGCCGCGGCGCATCCTCGGACAACAAATATACGAATCACGCAAGGGTCGGGCGGCCGCCAGACGTTTTCCGACGAGTCCCTTCCCCTCCCTAAGGTCCAAGGCTGCAACCCTACCCTTCTCTCCGCATCGGTTCCTGCAGTAGGCCGACCAACCTGATCGATCCATCCGCCGTTGAACAGGTCGCATCTCAAATGTGAGCGGTTTCTGGGATTCTTGGATTCTGTTTGGTTGCGCACTATCTCCTGCTTGGCTCCCCTCTCAATTTTTAGACCATCACCAAACTTGGATCTAGCCGGTACTTTGGGTTCGGAGTTTCCCAGTCCCTTGGATTTGACGTCGCCTTACCCCAGAATGATAGGGCGGATGCATGAACGGTAGCCTCTCTGCCCAGAAATCCAGCCCAAGTAGGTTCAATAATGCTGCACGCACTATGTCTTTTGCGCAGCGCACCTGGCATATGACATGCTCGATATCTACCGAGCAAGAGCGATCTTGAGGTCTCGACATGGCTCTGGCTCTGGCTCAGGCCCTGTCCTCGGCTCTCCCCACGACAAGAATCATATGAAAGAATCGTCGCGGCGGGCCTATCTACCCAGGTCCATGTTGGGTGTACCATAACAACCGATAGTATTACAGGGATTAGCCTGCCTAGCCTGCGCACCGGAAGTACCTGGCTGGCAGGTACTTTGCTGTAGTGCCACCCATAAGGCCGGGTATTCCATAGTACCGACCCAAGTACGGCGTAGCACCATGCCACAGAGGGTGGGCCCTTTCCAGGACCGTTTCACCATTGGCGTAGGTAGACAATTTATTCCAGTCGCTTGTTCTCGAAATTGCTAGTCGCCACTACTACTATACTAACTACTGCCAGACGATACGGACGTTTTTTTCGTTCGTGCCCTTCCTTATCAGAATGGGACCGGTCATCCGGTTGGTTTTGTCGGAAGTGGAATTACCTGCATGCCGTTGAGAGAGGATCCATCCTCTCTGGAGGTCCCAGGCAGGTCCAGAGCGACAGGACCGACCGACGAGGAGGGGGGAAAGATTGGGGGGGCAAGCAATGGGCACTGGCCAGTTTGGTCCCGGACGACACAAATTTTGACACTGATTGACTGCCCGCCCCCTCAATGTGTGTTGATTCTTTTCCAAATTCCAACCAATTGCCTACAGTCGTTGCGTGCTGATCTTACTGGAAATGTGGCCCGGACGGTCCCAGTGTTGGAACATGGGCCATCCATCCCATTGCAGTGCGCCTCTTGTCCTTCCTTTTCCCGTTTTTCCCTTTGAGTTTTGGGGGGACTAAGAAGGGAATCCCCCAAATGGCGGACGGGATGCTCAGTGGGGCCGACTAGCTTAGCCGGAGAGTCAATCCCTCCCTTTCACGGGTTGAGTCTATTGGCTTCCAATGCAGCCAACTTCGGTTGAATGTCACGATGGCCCCCCCCCGGCCAGGCCTACCACTATCAGTGGCCGACGTGCTCATTGGACCGTCGGATGTGCTGCCCTTCCCATTCCTTTTACCCCCCGCCCCGCCCAACAGCGCCCCCACCCTCCTCGGTTTGGAGATGCTGACTGGCCCGATTTGCCCTCAGTCGTCCATGTCGGTGGGACAGACAAGCCGCTGATAAGCCAGATAGGCTAAGAGATGATGCAGGTCCTAATGGTAACGGAACCATCCAACATGTAATCTTGTAGAACATATCACCGCAAGGGCGACGACCGGAAGAATATCATTTGATGGAGGGTAGTCTCATCGGTAAGCGCGCAGCAGGTGTTGGACACCACCTGGCAAGCTGGCAGGGGAAGGGAAGCATCGTGACTGGTAGAGGTGGGAGGATGGGCAATCAAAAGCCTGATGGCTGCTATTTTGGGAGCAATATTACCTGGAGACTCGGATTGGGGTGTGGCAATTCACAGCCATCCCATGAGGGATGCTCAGGTCGGTCGGTCGTCGTCTCGCCGCTCGCCGCCGCCGCTCATAATTACCGTACCCAATGGAACAGCGAAAATTACGTGAGACACAAAATTGGTGGCCAACTTTATCCCAGCAATCATAACTATCAGGTAATGGAATTAGGCCTACACCTTTCGGACGCCATGACGAAGAGGTTTGTGGAAGTGTCCATTTGGACCACCCTAGGAGTGGGAATTTGGAAGGCGTAGTCGCACTGGTACGACCTACTATATCAGGTATCGTATAGATAGGCGTCGTACCTCAGGATCCAGGTATCTCGCGCTTCTCCCACGACCATCCCATTGCGTCCTCCTATTGGAACATGGTCATCTCCGCATTTACCAGGTCATTACCGTAGGACGTGGTCCGTAAGAATGGCCTTTCCATGCACCATTGAAATGGGGCTTTGAGGGCCGCCAATGTTCCCACTCGTGCTCATGTGCCCCACGCACTTACGCCTTTTTGGGCGCCGCGGCCGACAAGGTGGGGCCGGTTTCTGGCTAGTCTTGTCGGGGATTCGTCGTCGCTGGGTGTCTCTTAAGTTCTGATCCAACTTGCACACTTTCTCTGACCATCCACCCTGGCCCCCCCCTCCTCCCCCCTCCTCCCTCCCTCCACCCACCCAAATTGAGGAATGGCACAACATGCGAGGTTGAATATTTGCTGTGCTGCGGATGCCGCTGACGGCGATGATGAAGAAGCCCGCCGCGCAGGCCCACCTCCCGTTGGACTCCGCTCCCAAGTTTCTCATTCGGTTGGTACTGCGATGTGCACCGGCGCCAATCTGCTTTCTTTGCCGCCCCAGACGGGTGTGCATAAGATTAGAAAAGTGGGAAAGCCGGATGACAATCCTAGGATACCGTATTTCCCCCCCAAAAGATTTGGGGTAAAGAGAAAAATGAGAGCGCAAGAAAAAAAAAGGGTTCAAAAAATCAGATTGCGGAAAAATCAAATCAATTAATTCAAATAAAAAAAAATAAATAGAGAGAAAAGGCAACGCGCGAGAAGAGTGTCCGAACATATGACACCATACCATTCCGGCAGATTTATTAGATGATTTATTAGTATATTACTATTACTACTATTATAGTAGGGACTGTTCGCTGCTGGCACCACCACCACCACCAGCGCCGAGTAAAGTTCCATGCAGCCATCTCGCCCAAACAGGCTCTCAGACTAAAAAGTACGGGCTCCAGTCCGACTGCTCACTACTCACGGCGCTACCAGCTCGTAGCACAAGCAGATCAGTCGCTCTTTTATCCACTGCCCATCCTTCTGGCCGGCTTTCCTCCTTCCATATCGGCCCTGTCTCTCATTTTCCCCGCGACTGTCCTCTCTCAAATTAATCTTCTTTATTTCTTATTTTTTTCTGTTTTTGCCCTTTTTAGACTTGTCTCGATCCTCATCTGGCCTTTCCTTTTCCCTTCCTCTCTTTTATCTCTTAATCTTAATTCCCTGCCCTCTTTTCTCTCTTTTCACTTGCGACTCATACACAGTCTCCGGCTCCTTGATCGAGATCGTCTCAAACCATTCGTTGTGTGGTTTGGCTCGTATCGAAACACAGGTGCCTGTCCTTCCTTCATAGACTCGCGGCATAGTCGTCAGATATAATCCTCAGAACCACGATCTCAAGACGCAGCAGTCGTTTCCCAGCATCCCTCACTCACAGTTCTACAATCGAGTGCGGTCCTTGGATTATTATCTGTCCTCCATAGTCATTCTCTCTCACTCAAAGTGCAAGCGACAATCTGCAACACATTCATTCCCCCCAGCGACCATCGCTGTGGACGAGCTACCAATTATAACTAATAATATCCGCTAGAGAGTAGAGCAGCCTCTACTCTTCTTTGCAATCACCACGTCCCACTATATGTGAGTCACCGTTGCCAGTTCAGATGTATCCGCGCAGAGAGGGCGAGACTGACTCCTGGTTCTCTAGTTACAATGGACACCACATACATGGCACCCACCTCGGTGCAAGGACAACCATCATTTGCATACTACCCCGATTCACAGCAAAGACAACACTTCACTAGTCACCCCGCAGACATGCAGTCCTACTATGGCCAGATGCAGGCGTTCCAGCAACAACCGCAGCACTGTCTGGCGGAGCAGCAGACCCTCTACACTGCCCCCCTCATGAACATGCACCAGATGGCTACCACCAATGCCTTCCGGGGTGCCATGAACATGACCCCCATTGCCTCTCCTCAGCCGTCACACCTCAAGCCCACCATTGTGGTGCAGCAGGGCTCGCCCGCCCTGATGCCTCTGGACACGAGGTTCGTGGGCAACGACTACTACGCATTCCCCTCCACCCCACCACTCTCCACCGCTGGAAGCTCCATCAGCAGCCCGCCTTCTACTAGCGGCACCCTTCACACCCCGATCAACGACAGCTTCTTCGCTTTCGAGAAAGTGGAGGGGGTCAAGGAGGGATGCGAGGGCGATGTTCATGCCGAGATCCTGGCCAATGCCGACTGGACGCGGTCCGACTCGCCGCCCCTGACACCTGGTAAGTTGTGATTCCGTGGGTTTCCCGGGGACGGCTCGCATGGCCCATGCGTGCATGCAAAAGGACACGGGGTTGGACGGTTCTAGGGTTGTACAGGGAGCTAACTCGACTTGTTCTAGTGTTCATCCATCCGCCCTCCCTCACCGCCAGCCACACATCGGAGCTTTTGTCTGCCCACAGCTCTTGCCCATCCCTTTCTCCCTCGCCTTCTCCTGTCACTTCCACCTTCATTGCCCAGTCTCACTCGGGTCTGCCGACTGAGCAGTCCAGCTCCGACTTCTGCGACCCTCGCCAGCTGACCGTCGAGTCGTCCATCAACGCGACTTCGGCTGAGCTCCCGCCATTGCCCACGCTTTCCTGCGATGACGAGGAGCCCCGGGTGGTTCTGGGCAGCGAGGCCGTGACTTTGCCTGTCCATGATACCCTCTCTCCCGCCTTCACCTGCTCGTCTTCTGAGGATCCTCTCAGCAGCCTGCCCACCTTTGACAGCTTCTCCGACCTTGACTCGGAAGACGAATTCGTCAACCGCCTGGTCGACTTCCACCCCAGCGGCAACGCTTACTACCTGGGTGAGAAGCGTCAGCGTGTGGCGACTTTCCCTATCGAGGAAGAGGAGTTCTTCAGTGAGCAGAGCTTTGACGATTCAGACGACCAGGATCTTTCCCACTCCGGTCTTCCCTTCCTGGGAAGCCACGAATTCACCGGGGTCCCGGGCACCATCAATGAGGTTTCGGAAGAGATGAGCTCCAAGAAGCGGAGCAACGCTCGCAAGTCGCTCAAGAGAGCCAGTACCTCGGACAGCGAGTCGGAGAGCATTGGCGTCGTGGGCAAGAAGTCGCAGCTTTCGGCCAGCAGCCGTGTCAACAGCACCGAGACCAACTCGCCAGCACCCCAGGCGACTGTTCCGTCCCGTCACAACTCCGACGCCTCGTGTGTCTCCAGCGCTTCGGAGGCTCCCTCTGCCCCTGTCTCCGTCAACCGCCGTGGTCGCAAGCAGTCTCTGACTGACGACCCCTCAAAGACCTTTGTGTGCTCCCTCTGCTCCCGTCGCTTCCGTCGTCAAGAACATCTCAAGCGTCACTACCGCTCTCTTCACACTCAGGACAAGCCGTTCGAGTGCAACGAGTGCGGCAAGAAGTTCTCGCGGAGCGACAACCTTGCGCAGCATGCCCGGACTCACGCGGGTGGATCTGTCGTGATGGGCGTCCTCGACACGGGCAACACGACGCCGACCTCGTACGAAGAGCGCGATCCCAATACATTGGGAACGGTGCTGTACGAGGCCGCCAATGCGGCTGCTACCAAGTCTACGACCAGCGAATCCGAAGACAGTGTCTCGGATGCGCCAGCGGTCGACCGACGAGCTCCTAAGAAGCGCAAGCGCGAGGGCGACGCCTAGAGCGGATCCACATGGCTTGCAGCTATCACGATGATATGTGACCAGGAGCTCCCATATATCACTTAATACATCCTATACATAACCTTCCATTCCACTGGTTGGTCTGACTTGGTCTTGCGGTTTGGCGTCCGGGCTTTGTTTCTGGCGGTGACAAGAATCGGTGTACGGGTATTGACAGGTCCTGATGCCTATCCAACAACAACAAAACATAACACGACACATCAGGCATCAGGACTATTTGGCGAAGCATTAGACCGGCGGCAACGGAATCTGGGCGCACATGGAGTCCAGGGTTGGACCAAAACTAATAGAGCGCATGATGACTTCACATTGAGGCACTGGTGACTTGGGTTGATCTTTTCTGTGATTCCCCTTTTCTAACTCGAATTTTTCTCGATCTTTGCGGCGAATCTCTCCGACTCATCCTCGCGCGACGGGGCTATTGACCCCTGTCGGCGACCTTCTGTACCCGATCTACCCTCCTCCTTTTCCTTATCACTTCTTCTTATATACTTCTCGTTCAAGTTGCATTCATTGTGCCTATTCGATGTAATATTTTGCTCACTCCTGTCCTCTGCTGAGAGCAGCCCATCCTTTTGTGCTGGCCACATGTACAATTTAATACCATTTCCCCAATCGTTGCCTCATACCCCTGTGCGCATACTCTTTTCCTTTTCTGTCTGCATTCCCAGGTGCATTCTTGTGCCATTGTCATTTGTTGAGCGGTTCAATAGTATTGATTATACTGTACTCCGTACTAGTAGATCAGTAAGATAAGTCGTTTGGTTGGGTGCGTCACTCCGCTAGTGGCCTTTCCCGGCCTCGACGTCACCCATCATCTTAAGACCAACCATCATATTCAGCCCTCCCAGTGAGTCCACATACGTCTAACTCTCCACATGCAAATCCTACGAACCACTCACATCATCTACTCAAAACCTACTTTCATCAATTAATTGAATTGAATTCAATTACCCCCCACACAGTTCCCCTCCCTCCCGTCCAGACCTAGACTGGAAGAAAAAGAAGAGGGGTCCATTGAAAAATCATCTCCCCGCACCCCTCCATCACCACATTACATCCATCCACCTACCCATCATCCATCCACACAAACCACACACAGAGAAAGAAAGGGATAAAGAAAGAAACAAAAGAATGACATCCCAAAATACCCTCCCCACCTCCCCCACAAGCCTCAACGTGATCGCCCTCATCTCCGGCGGGAAAGATTCTCTCTATTCGATCCTGCACTGCATCCGCAATGGCCATAAGGTCGTGGCGTTGGGGAATTTGTATCCGAAACGTACCACCACCAATACCACCAACAACGACAGCAATGCTACAGAAACCAGCAGGGATGATAAGGGGGATGAAGAGGAGGAGGAAGAAGAAGAAGACATCGACAGCTTCATGTACCAAACGATCGGACACAGCATCATCCCTCAATATGAATCCGCCTTAGGAATCCCGTTGTATCGACAGGAGATTGTGGGCTCCGCGGTTGATACGGGGAGGGTTTATCGGGACACTTCTTCTTCTTCTTCTTCTTCTTCTTCTCCTAAAGGAGATGGTAATGAGGAGGGAACTGAGGAGAAGGATGAAACCGAATCCCTCATCCCGCTCCTCACACGAATCAAACGGGCTCACCCCGAAGCAAACGCGATCTCGGCCGGCGCGATCCTCTCAACCTACCAACGAACGCGGATTGAGAACGTCGCCGCGAGAATGGGTCTCGCTCCGCTGGCGTGGCTATGGATGTACCCGGTTTTGCCGGCGCCAGTGGAGCGATTAGGGCTACCGGGGGAGGCGGGATTGTTGGAGGATATGGCGGCGGTGGGGTGCGAGGCGCGGATTATCAAGGTTGCGTCGGGGGGATTGGATGGGGGGTTTTTGTGGGGGGATGTGGCGGGGAGGGATGGGATGGTGAGACGGAGGATTGTGAATGGGATG